CGAATGGCGGGCGAAGCCGTGAGGAGGCCGGTGGGCTTGTAGTAGAGCTTGTTGGTGGAAACCTCCTTCAGGCCAAACGACCCTTGGTCAATGTACTCGGCCTCCAGCGCCTGCTCGGTGGTAGGATGGATGGTCTGCCCCAGGCGCTCAAAGGCACGAAGCTGCCACAGAAAGCTTTCCCAAGGGTTGTCCAGAACAACATGCCTTCCCAGAGCCGTCCTGCGCTGCAGCAGCCGGGCCAACCAATGGAGCGGCTCGGTCCACCTCCGTCTTTCACTGATCACCTCGGCCCGTCGCGTCTCGGAGGTCACGTTGTCGAGGGCCGGCAGACGGCTCCAGGGAGCGGTGACAGGCGAGACCACCCGAACATCTCGCTGGAGGAGATCTCCTGGAAGCGAAGCCAGGTCGATAGGAGAGGAAACCGACAAGCCGCAGCCCAGCTGCGGTGATGGCCGCCGCCCCGGCGAACAACTCGAAGAGAAAACTCTTGCATCCTCGGGGAAGCTGCCGTTGTGACCTTCGGTAAAGAGGTGCCGGTGACAGCTGGTTCCAAAGGGTGGCGTCACTCCGCGCCATTGCCTCCGAGGTCTCATCAAGAAGTCGCCGCTGGCCATATCCTCCAGACTCAAGAGGTCCTTCCCCGAAACTTGTGCCCAGAGCTTCCTGGCAGTGGCTGGGGCTCTTGTAGAAGTAGGTGTAGCCGGTCCACGGGCCCCCAAGTAGCTCGGCGACTTCCAGGTCCTCGGGCCGCTGTGGAAGCCAATGCTCTCTGAACTCCTGGGTCTCGCCGCTCACGGTCTCACAGGCGACCGTCCTCGGGAAAAGGAGGCGCAGCACCTCTTCCTCGATCTCCGTCTCTCCGCCGGGTTCCAGCCTGGGGTCATAGAGAGACGTCCTGGGCTGAACATGCACTCGTACCCATGTGTCGCCTTCTTGCTGCCAGAAGTCTTGCTCATCATCGGCCTCCGGCGTGGGGCTCTCGTCGTTCTCGGCCGCCAGCATCGCGAAGCCGCCGTCGGCGAGGCCATCATAGAGGGGAAGAAGCCGAACCGCCGGGAGGCCGTCTCGATCGAGCAGTTCCAGGTGTTGCCGGAACCTCTTGCTGTAGGCCTTGTGCTCCGGAAGGTCGAGCACGATGCCCAGCTCTTTCTGGGCCTTGCAGCTGAGAAGCAGCGGCGCGTCGGAACCTTCAAGCTCAACCGACTCCACCGTGCCATGTGCCAGGGTGCCGTCTTCAAGCTGGAGAGAAATAGTCAAAAGACGGCGCCCCTTCGACCGAACTCGGCAGCCAATGCCCTTCAGGCTGGTCCCTTGGTCGGCAGGAAGCGGCTCACTTGTGAGACCACACGCCTGCATGTACTGCTCGTACCAAGCCGCTCCGTGGCACGACTGGTTGCAACCGGCCGCGCCATCGGTCATGACCATGTAGCCGGTAGCCTGCCGGGCGGTGTGCTCTCGGCTCTTCATCATCCTGACAAACCGGTCAAAGTCTTGAAGGGACTTGGCTTGAATGTTTCCGCCCTGCGACAAGATCCAGGAACAGCAGTCGGAGTGCCCGCGGTAGACCTCGCCGAAGGTCCTGCCCTTGTGCTTTCCTGAGTGGAGCAGGGCGTCAGCCGTGATGCCGTGCTCCTCCACCAAGGTCGGGGCCACTGTCGCCACGGGAACAGGAGCACGAGGCGGCTCACCCCTGGCCGCCGAGGTTGCAAAAGGATCTCCTGTAGAGGCCTGCCTCCCGAGCCATGGGCCCCAGCGCTGGTAGTCAATGACGTTTGGCGGGCCCCTTTCTCGTCCTGTAAATTTCCACACAACGCTGCACCATCTGCGGAAGGCGGTCCAAGGGAACGGGGTTGCCACAGCTCTCTTGCACCATGACCACCGTGCCCGCAAGCTCCAGCACCTTCACCGCTGCCGTGTCGGGTCCTTCCATGTTGGCGGCTCCCATCCCTTGCCGCTGGAGACCACACTGCAAGAATCTCCACTTCCCCTCCGTTGATCTCTCTGGTGCGGCCACTGCGCAGCCGCCGGCACGTTGGTCTGGTCGAGGGCCGCCTGCTCAGAAGCTACCTCCGGGATAAGAGAAGGCGAGTAGTCGCTCTGGCGTTCCAACGTGGCCTGCTCGGTGTGGGGCTCGTCGGCGACCATAAGCTCTCCGGTCATCTCGGTGGTGTCCATCTCCCGAATCGCCGCCATCATGGAGTCAATGACCACGTCACTGTTCACCCGCAGGGCCTCGGCCAGCATCTGCTGATCGAGGTCGAGTCCTGGCACCAGTGCCGCCGCAGCTGTTCCCGGAACCACCGCCCATGAGGAGGCACGGCTCTGAAGTGACTGCCTCTCCGCGGTCCGCCAAAGTAGGAAGCGTCAAGCGTTGCTCGGCGGCCGGCTGAGACGAGGATCCGGAAGACGCCGCCGGTGGCAAAGTCGAGGAAGATGCCGGAGCCGCCGTAGAAGAAGAAGAGGCCGGCGCCTTCGGAGGAGGGCCGCCCCAGCGCAGGAGCGAAGACAGCGACACCGGCGCCACACCATCCAGAGAAGTCGCCGGCCGTGTGCTCTGCGCCGGCGGGTCTAGCAGCATATACCCAACCTTGTCGTCGGGGTCGTCCTCCTGAATGGCAAAGTACACGGTGCGCGGCTTGTTCGCCCCCGGGCTGCCCTTCTTCTGGTTCCCCTTTGGCCTCTTTGGTGCCGTAGACGCCGTGGAGCCGGCACTGTACAGCTCACATGCCTCTTGCTGCCGTCGCGGCCGCAAAGCCTCGGTGAGCTTCTTCACGATGGTCTGCAGTCCTTTCGCCGACGCCAAGGTCTCAGTCTCGATCTCCCTGACTATGTGCAGGGCCCGTGCCCCGTAGTCCTTCCACCAGCCTCACTCCGAGAGGGTCCATCTTCTTCACCTCGGTAGCATCCATGCCGCTCTCCTTCAGCTCCCTAAGCTTCACTCTGTAGACGTACTCTTGGAGCTGGTGCAGGCTTCCGTCATAACGAGGGATGCCGTACTTTCCTTCCGTAGTTTCGCTATCTGAGATCTCCACGAACTTGGCCCACGAGAGGCCCTCCAGCAAAGCCATCAAGGCGTCGCCGGCTAAGAAGGTCTTATGCTAAGAGCTGCCAACGTAATATGAAAGGGCTCTGCAAAGGTCCCTAAAGAGCGCTAGGCCCCGCTGCCAGTATGAAAACTGGGCAGTGCTGAATGCATGTGCTTCCAAGACGCTGCTTTTCCGCATGGCTTGAGCCACGAAAGGTCGTCAATGCAAAGGCTCGCACAATCATTGCCTATCCGGGCCAGAGTCTACATCGCACATGTTCGCTTTCACATTCCCACACAGCCAAAGAGAGATGCGAAGCTCAGCAACAAATCCCCCGCAACAAAAATCCTTGCCGCAACTCTGGCATGAGATCTCCCGACTCAAACAGCCACTGGCGAGTGTGGAGCAAGTCGCTTTGTGGAAAGTCAGTGTGCCAGGAGGTATTGAGGCCAGACTGATGCCTGCCCTGCTATTCTTTAGCTGTCCAGAACTTGTCATAGCTTTTGATAGCTGACTGTAGGTTTTCCTAGCGCTTCCGGATGTTTTGGATCTTCCCTCAGCCCACACAGAATAATCTTCTTGGTTCAGTGATTTCCAGGACCTGATGTGTTGGCTTGAGAGTTCGATTCGCGAGTGGACGACGTTTAGGGGTTGAGAAGCGATGTGAGTGGATTGGAGGGGAGTTTCAGTGAGGCGGAAGTGGAGGGGTACATGAACGGTGGAGTGACGTTTTGCTCACAATCAAATAATCACAGATGTTGCAGCCTCTGGGAGGGATTGTGAAGTCAACAACTTCCGCGTCCCAGCCAAACGACTGCTGTGCTAGCTTTCATGATCCATAATTTTTGCTCTGGCATGGCCAGGTGCTACACGTCTGCTCCGCCCGCAGGCGTTGCTATCAAATCCCGAACTATCCCGAAATCGACAAGCGCAGCACAGTGCACGAGCTGAAGGCCTAGTGAAAAGCAGAGCTGCTGGCAAATAGAACACTGAAGCAAGAAGCTGTCGGCCTGGCAACAGGAGTGGTAACTCCGTGGCACCGTCTCGAAGTTCGAGTGACCCTAGGGCCTAGGGTCCTAGAGTTGCTGGAGGCTTGAAGTCGCGAAAACAAGCACCTCTTCCTACTGTCATACAGCCAGTACTTGAGGCTTCACTGCAGCTTCATCATCTTGTCTACTGTAGCGCCAGCTCGCCGAAACGCCCAAATGGCCCAGATGCGCTCTGTATTGGGGCGGGTGTGCGGCACACCACTACTTGAACTGTTTCATCGCCGTGCTTCGCTGGTATCGTCGCCCCTGCTTGTGATGCGTAACCGAGGTAATTCTGCTTCCACTGTGGCCTGGAGCAGTTGAGGGTAACTGCAGCGGCTCTGAGATGGCGCAACCGGACGATGGGCAATTGTGCTTTTCCTTGGCACTGTTGAGATGCTCTGGTGCCCCCCCCACCCCCGTCCAAAAAGACTTCTCGGAAGTTACCATCTCAATGACCCTAAGGGTTTGTCGAAGTGCAGGGGTGCTACTGGATCCCCCGTGCTCGGTGGTTCTTTCGTCCGCCATCAGCACTCGACATCTGGTGCCAGAGACTTTTGCGACTTCGCACAACAGCTGAACTCTGGACAGGATGCTATACTTCGTAAGAACGGGGCGTGAAGATCGAACACTAAAATGACTTCGGACATTGCCTGTGTCCAGCATCAGATGCAGGTACTGCTTGCCCTGGCGACACGCTGCTGAGGAAGCTTGGTTCGTTAGATCTGCGCACGTCTCTAGACTCTAGCCTCGAGACTCAGACCGATCCACCCGAGCAATTGTACAATCTGTCATACACTGAGACTTGACTCCCTCCTTGAGGCTATGCGGGCTTAGCAATATCCTTCATCTCATGACTCCAAGCTCATTCACATGGCTAAGCAAGTCTTTGCAAATCAAACAAATCAGTCAAGCATGAAGCCAGCACCTTCTTGTTTCAAGCTCCTCAGCATGCATCCTCTCTTACTCGATGCTGCTCGAAGACAAACCATGCCAAATCATCGTCGTCATCGTCATTCTCCTCGTCATCGTTGTCACTGTCGCGCTCTTCGACAGCAGAGTCCAGTCTTCTCAGTTCACCTGCCTGATGGGTTTTACTTGCACAACGCAGTTCCTCCCAAAAGCTCCGCAGCAAAACATAGCGATATGCCTGGTTTGCCAAGAACTGGAAATATATTTGGCGTTTCTCCAACTTGGCCACATCATAAAGGCTGCTGAGAAGCCCGATGTACACGTTCATCATGATCACATTTACCACGAGGCTCAACAGCACGAACATGTAACGCAAACCATCGTGGAAAGGCTTGGGAAGGTCTTGCTCCAGCTCGGCGGCAATGGTTCCTCGCTTCAAAGAAGCGTTCAGAAACTCACCCCTGCCTTCCAACTCGCCCATGTCAAAGTCAGCTAAAACTTCTAATCGAAAGATGCGAAGAAAGCTCGAGAGCGCTTCTTGCCATGCGACATTCCCGAAACCTCCGTGAACATCAATATCTTCCGTGGGAAATGCGTAGTATGCATGGAAAGAAGCAAGAACTATGAGCGCCAGGAAAAGCAAGAAGTACAAAGCTTCGGGCTGACTGACAGCGTGGAAAGCAGGGAGCACATTCTCACCAACTGTCCGAATGCTTAGGCAGTTTTGCACGAAAGTCAGCCAGCGAAAGAAAATCATGAAAGAGACCAGGTTGATGTACTCGAAGAGATGGCAGGACTTCGCATGGCGGCTTCCTCGGCATCCCTTTTGCCCGTGGTCCAACACCATGACCAGCGCCCATCCGAGGACACAGCAACTGTAGATCTGCAGGACCATGGTAAACAAGTTTTGGGCAGTTGCAAATTTCCGCAGCTTCCAGAGGCAACTGGTGTAAACATCCATACCCCGGAAAAGCTGTGAGTGCTGCCATGCGATTATCAGAGAATGAAGGCAGGATCTTCCAGCCAGCAGGCATAGGACTGCTAAAACCGATTCGGAGGGGTACATGTAATGCCGTAAGGATGCGCTCGCATCGACGAGGCCAACGAGAATAACAACATCAGTCACTAAATCAAGGAAGAAGCACTGGTTCTCCAGAAGCCAGGCTTGAATCAAGATGCCCTGTCCAAGCGTGCTTGTCAACACATGGCTGCGTGTCCCACAGTCAGCGAAGGCCCGGATCATCATCGCTTGCTGGCGGCTGCTCGCTTTAAAGAGCGTCAGGGCCGGGCTGTAGGCAAAGCTCGCTTTGCAAAATTGAAAATGGTTGCCCCTGCCACGCGAGCAGCGCGCTCGGCATGACCGTCCAAAGTTGGGTTTGTACTCGTGTGGGTACTGGTAATCAAAAGACAAATAGTGTTGCAAGTGCCGCTTCGATACAAATACATGCATCCATTGCCAGCTTGCGGGCATCCAGGCTGAAACAACGGTGCCATCAGACTGACTCAGAGCCGACTCTAACACGTCGCATTCATCTTGCCCCAGGCTCTGCAAGGCTGCCAAATGCTTGAAAGACGTTACGGTACCCGGAGTCTCAGAATTCTCAAGCTCGTCATCGAACACTTCAGATGGAACCTCTTTGACCAATGCATTCATGAGTCTCAGGAGATATGGCTGGCCAGCCATGGATGAAAAGCTCTCCAGGGCAACTGTCAACTTGATTGGCGTCCAAGTACGGCATTGCTCCGCCCACTGCTCAAAGGATGCAGTGCCCTTTTCCAGAGCAACAAGTTCTGCACAAAGTTCTCGTCTAAGGTTCACTCCGTAGCGCGTCGCATCACCAACCGCTTGCCACCAAATGCGCTGCTCGAGGAGTGTGTCACGGTTCTGGGAGCTCTCGCTTTCACTCCCCGAGCCTGAGCCCCCGACCTGGAGACGCTGGGCCAGGGCCATCAGGGGAAGCTCTCAGTGTGTACTCAGGATGCTTGACAGACCATGCTTTCGAGTCTTTGAAGCCCTTGACTATCCGTGACTGGCTGTATCCGCTGGCTCTTCATGAAACTTTTCAGAGATTCCTCGAGAAAAATGATTGCCGTATGCAGTCACAGTGCCTGAAGCTGAAATTCATTTTAAGCAAAATCAGTCACAGCACGGGCCGCAACATGCATTCGTCAACCTGGGCTGGTCTGTGAAGCCCCGTGGTCTTGTGAATGGAAGACAACGCGGCCTCGCCCGCAGACTCAAACAACAGCTCGAACTCGTGATCCTCGCAGGATCTCGCAGGATTAGGCACTGTAGTTGGCTGGATCTTACTTTGCATAGCCGAAGCTGCTATGCACCGGCGTGTGGCTTACGTAAGCCCATGTAAGCCCTTGCTGCGCAAAACGTAAGATGATGGCACAGCTACACGCCTGCTGTTCTTCAGGAGTCGCTTGTGCAGCGGCACGACATTGCTGTTCCTCATCGCATCATGGGCCCTGCCCCTGCCGAAGCCCAGCTTGAGGGCATCATTACTACTCGGCCAATGCTTCCTCAATCATCTGGGCAATTCCTGCAGACGGCCTTGCTGAAGTCCGCGAATGTGGCAGACAATCGAATAAACTGAACCGATACGCTAGTTTATAACTTACGGCTCAGTTTGCACCGATCTTCGCGAAGGCAGCTGAAGCATGTGAAGTGCCGTAAACGGCTCGAGGTCGATATCTTGAATCTAAACTACAGCTGCAATAGATCACCATGACCTATCTATGGCCATTTGCTGCGTGCTTGGTTAGGTTTTCTGCTGAAAGTGACACGTTTACACCCGAAACTAAGGAAGCTGAGACATCGAATTTTGTATGTAGGCATGGCACTGGCAGCTGAACGTCATCAACACCCCACACACACACACAAAACAATCCATCCCCCCAGCATGAACAATTGAAAAGTCGGCGAGGTGATCATTCCATGTCCGTAACCATGGTAGTCACATTGTCAGTGTTGTGTAGCAATAGTCTGGGCATGTCAGCTCCCGGAGCGTTGCGTTGGCAGGATTAGCAGCTACCAGTGGCAAGCGGACGGTTCCCAGCACTACAAAAGTTGAACTTAACTTCGAAGCGCGTCCCAAGCCCTGAGCGAACATCTCGAACACTTGCGAGCAGATTGAGGTCTCCTGAAACAATCCCAGGTACTTCTCGGAGGCGGCATTGTCCTTAGAGGCTTGGGGACGACTCCGCGGACTTCCTGCTGCTTCGCTCTTGCTCGAAGGCTTTTGTACTTTCTTTGCGTGTGCTTGCATTGGGAAACTAAACGGCAACACAGTCTCTTCGCTCCTGTGTGCCAACAAGCCTGTCGCGAAAGAGACAATAGTAGTGAGTTTCGACGACACGGCAAACCGCCGCAACCTCATGGCAAGTGTTTCGGGACAGGGACAGAAAGGGAATTGTCATGAAGCTCAAGGCACGTTACACGGCTCGCTTCTCGGCATTACCGTGGCCGAGAGCCTTCAGTTGCAAGGCAGTACGCTGCTTCTGTCCTGTTGAGACTGCCTGTCTGGCTTTATCGCAGCTTTGTGCACACGCATCTATACTCATTCTGTCTCGATTTCGGCAGACCCACGGATGTCCTAAAGGCCATTTTTGCATACCGCAGTCAATAGGATCATAGAGGATAACCGGTGGCAGACAAGCACTGCTGTAACAGCTCCAGAGACGAGCCTTGCTTTTCTAAGAATTCTGCTTCTCAGATTCTTGTGCCGTGTCGTGTTGCGGGGCATATGGATTCATCAAGAGGACCGTCAGGGTCTCTCTGGCCGAGCAAATCCGGACCTTTGTGCGTGATCTTACGAAATTGTCGGAACCTGGAAAACACATTGGCCCTGCAGGCCTGCACCGGAGCTTCGGCGAGTTTGATAATGTCGTGGGGAGCTTGCTCGTGTGTTTGCGTGTTGGTGATGTATATAAGCCGTTTGGATCCGTTCGGCCTGCCTCTCTCAGTGTGTTTTTGAAACGTTGACTGGGTTGCTCGCAGTGGCAGGTCTGAGACCCCAGCCCAGCCCAAAATCCAAACATGCACTCTTCGTCTGACAGCCTTCGTGCAATCTGCGCACGCAAGCACCGGAGGACAACTTCCTTCAAGTTGAACGGAACACTGATCAATGTGAACACTGACAAACTGCCTCGCGGATAAGGTCTGCAAGGGATGTGTCCTTGGTACAGGTCCCTCCGTCTAACAGTCCTTGACAGCACCTTTTGGCTGAGCTTCAGGTGCTCGATCCGGCTTGGAGCTGAAAATCTTGAGCCTCTTGCTCTTGACATCACCAACAGCACATGAGCAGATGTTCGTGAAGAAGAGCGGCGGCGCCTGGCCTGGGCCTGAGAATGAAGGGCATGATGATGACTTCCTGCTGCGCTTCCTGGAACTGCCTTGTGGGCGGCCGCCTATAAGTCCGACTCTGAGCCCAAGCCAACGCAAGCCAAGCGACTGGTAAATCTCATTGAAGAAGACGTGCCCGCAGTCGAGAGCTTCCACATCCTGGGCACGGAAGAGCGCTGTCGCTGGGCCGCTCGATGCTCTAGGCCCTAGGCCCTCGGAGGGCCGCAGCCTTGCAGGGAACCTCATTGAAAGCCGCCAGTCCTGGAAGACGGAAGTCAAGACATCTGATTACGAAGTGACATCGAAGCCTGGCCCGACATAAAACTCTAAGATGGGCTGCACACGGCACATGCCATTTACCGTCAAATTAGTTTGCTAATCACTGCTTTCTTGCTTGCGCGAAGCCCCGGCTTAGATTCAGCTGTACGCAGATGGCTCGCCACCGCGAAGGCACAACACTTCATCTGCTTTGCACGACAAAACTACAGCTCTAAGAGGAGGAGTCGTAGCTGAATCGCGCAGATCCTGGCTCTACAGCGCTTGTTGCGATGAGTTGCCTATAGTTGAGCATCGTTTAACCACCTGACCCAAGAAATCGCCAGAGTTGATGCTTCAAGCTGACACAGTTTCAGGTCCCGGAAGCAGAGCCGAGAGCAGCCATAGCTTTCGGCGACGTCGCATCACAGCATGCGCAGCGCTAGAGCCGCTAGTGGCGCATGGCCAGAAGGTCGGACGGTATTCTGATCTCTGCTTCGTGGCTTAAGTCTTAGTGCTCTCAGCAAGGGCGTGTGTTGGTGCCTGCTTGTGGGCTCGTAAAAAGCACAGACGCACCATGTCCTTTCTCACTGCCTGAAGAAGCCGAGCTGTCATCAGGTCTGTTTGAGGTACTATGCAGCATTCACACACTTCTCCGTCCCCAGTGTTCGGCCGAGCAGGCGCACTGCGATAGAGCCTTCTGCTCCACAGGATAGCAGCATGCGAGATTCCTTGAGAGCATCAGGTACTGCCCCGGACATAGATAAGAGCAGGGGTCTGCACAAAACGGTATGCTGGACTCGAACTGCCTGTACGCAAAGCTAGGGCTCCTGCGCTTGGAGCAAAAATGAGGTCGTGAATGCTTTTCTCATGTGCCTGGCGTTTTGACAGCGCGACTGCTCGAGCTGGCGGGAACTGCGCATTGACAGCTTGGCCTGCCAGAAGGTCAAAGGCTGGGCAAGTTGAGAAGCCTGCCAACTTGTTCTGCGTGCGAGTGACCGCTGGAAGTGTCTGACATCTCCCGCTGCAGCCGTGATCCCGGAATATCTCCACACTTCGAGCACCTTCCGGACCCGGCTGCAGGTCTTTTTCCAGGGCACTGCAAAGAGCGGTGCGAGGCATTGTCTGACATATTATATGAGGCACACTCAGTTCTGATGCGCGCATGTCCTCAGGCAAGTCCAGCGCACAATGCACACAAAAACGAGTCTTCAAAACAAGCACAGGACACTGAGCCCGGGACCGGAGCAGACTGTCCTGTGAGCCGATGATCGGCCTTCGAGTTCAGTTCCTGCAGGCCGCCTGCGGCACAGTGACCAGTGCATCCTGGCAACAGACCGGAAACACAGCAAGAACAGCTGTTCCGAATGCGCTGGCACACAATCGTGAATGCACTGTCACAGCAACTTTCTTCAGAGTCGTTTGCTCGTAGCTGGCGTAGCTCCTATTCGTGCCGCCGCTGCGGCCTGTTGCCTGCATTTGCCCTGCCTTCTTCCGGCAGCTGCCAGCTGCCCCACTGAGGGGCCCCGCGGGCCCGGCTCCCGCTCACAAAGCCCGGAGGCCGCCGGAGGCCCGGGCCCAGGCGGCGCACAAATTTCACGTTCTATGCACAACCCACAGTTGTGTTCTGCGAGCACGACCTTGTGCAGGCAAGCGCAAATCAAATGACCTCACTTTGCCGAACACACAAGATTGCCATGAACGTACGGGGAAGCGCTGCTGCATGCAGTCTGCACGCAAAGTCGCAACATTGTGGAAGACATGCGTACGAACCAAACGCCCGCAGTGCATGTATAACAGGTGAGACGAAGCTTTGTTGATGAAGTGAGCACGCCATCAACAGCTCTCATTCACTTAACACACTCCTAACACTGTGTCTGCGAAACGGAAACGCTCGAAGTCGCAGACGGACACTGCAAAAGCTAAGCCGCTAAGCCAGGCTCAGTTCCAGCTGAGGACCTCACAACACGCGGCACACGTGCATGGTCTAGACAAGCGACGAGCTCTCATTGTCACAACATGTCACATCTTCACATGCAAGGCCCCAAGGCAGGCTGAGATGGGCACTACTTTTCCGGCTTGTCCAGATAACATGGCATCGAATCCATCTTGATATTGATCAACCGAATACCTTTCAACTGCCAGGGCAGACATGCATCAGTGTGCACAGTCCTCCTGCGAATCGTCAGGTCTTCCAACGACCCATGCTGGCCTGTGTGTAATCACGGGTGTCACTTTGTCCTGAAGTCCACCAACCAACATACTCTGCCTCAGAATCACACACAGATTCCTGTGCGAGTGAAAATTGTGGTGGATGCTGGGAAAGGGCAAACATAGAGCACCTCACAGTCAAACCCCTTCAGTTGATCGCTCCGGCAATTAAGGGAATTCAAGACATCACTTCATTCTGCGCATGATCTTTACAAGCTTCGTGATTGCTCCTTCAAAGCCCGAAGCAGCCCTTAGATGGAGTCACCCGGTGAGGCCTGAGCAGATGCCGGACAGATGCCTACAGGCTGTAGGCCTTTTTACACCAACGGAAATTGGGTTCAGCTGAGTCACATCTTGTACCAGGTTTCAAACATTTCTCTGCCGTAGATTCCTTTGATTTCGAGGCCCTTGAAGATCACCTGGTCCCAGTTGATCGCGAAAGGCTTCGATGGTATTCCCAGCAGAGCTACGCGAGCACCGACATTCAGGGTATCAAGCATCGAGTGCACCGCTACAGGAACTCCAGACATCTCCAAGCCAATGTCGAAGCCTTCCGTCATGTGAAGTTCGCGCATCACCGATCTGATTCTTTCCGTGGGATCACCCTGGCCAACATTAATGGCTCTTGTTGCTCCACACTTCATGGCAAGGTCCAAACGGAAATCGTTGATGTCGGTGACTACGACGTGGCGAGCACCGACATGGCGGCAAATTGCCGCAGCCATTACCCCGATAGGTCCAGCTCCAGTGATCAGCACGTCCTCGCCGACCAGATCGAAGCTCAAGGCAGTGTGCGTGGCGTTCCCCAAAGCATCCATGAAGCTGGCCACATCATCAGACACACCACTGCTGAGCTGGAAGACGTTGTAGGCAGGAAGGCACAGGTACTCAGCAAAAGCTCCAGGTCGATTAACACCGACTCCAACAGTTTCTCTACACAAGTGTCGTCTGCCGGCTCGACAGTTCCGACACACACCACATGTGATGTGGCCTTCTCCTGTGACGCGGGCGCCAACTTTGAGGCCTGTGACCTCTGAACCTTGGTTTGCTCATGTCGCCCACAATTGCTTTATCATGACTTTGGCGAGATTTGCAAATCGATTCAGATGGAAAGCATGGTAAGGCTCGGGCCAAGCTCCTTGACTATTCCGCAGTACTCGTGCCCAACGACCATGGGAGTCGGAATTGTTCGCACGGCCCAATCATTCCAGTCATAGATATGCACATCCGTGCCACAAATGGCTGTCCTTGGAAGCTGGTGGTTAATAGGAGGATCAAACAAGCTGTTGAAGTGTTCGGTATGTGGCTTCTGTCCTCTTTTACTGTTTCTGGGCTCCTCAGGGACATCACACTGCACAGGAGGTCATATGGTTTCTTAGATGCTGGTGCGGCATTTTGTGAAGTCCCAGGGTTGTAGTGAGGTTCGCACAACTTCATTTTGGTCTCGTGTGTCGTGCACATTGACATGACATAAACCGACTGGGAGCACTGGCCGGAGAGAGCTCATTCACGAATGTCGCGAAAGTGCTCAGAACAGCGAGATAACACCCAGCATCATCTCATGTGGCATTATCCGGTCGTCAACTCATCCATTCACCCGTCCATCCAGTCATCCATCCATTCATCCATCCATCCATCCATGCATCCATCCATGCATCCATCCATCCATCCATCCATCCATCCATCCATCGGTTCATCCGTTCATCCATCCATCCACCCATCCACCCATCCATGCACCTACATATCCATCCGCTGTATAAAGCCATGCATTCATTCATTCCTTCAGTCCTGCATTAATTCCTTTATTCATTAACCCATTCACCAATGCATCCGTCCGTCCATCCATCCACCGACCCATCCAGCCCACCCGTCCGGCCATCTAGTAAGGAAACGCCGCCCGGCCTTCACTTCGCACGAACCCCAGCGGTGCCGAGACTGAGCTTCGCTGTATTTTCATGCACTGTAGTAGTTGGGGTACGATGATACGTAATGTACTGCATAAACCCTTCTGGGATTCAGGACTACGGCCCTGCTTTGTGCCATGTGCTTTTGGCGGATTCGAAGGCATGACACCAATGCTTCCTCCCAAACTGTGATCGAGGAGCACTGTCAAAATGCTTCCCCACATCATGCATTGATGCATGGCGGGTTTCATAAACCTGACCAAAAAAAGCTTCCCTCAGGTACCGACAGAATTCCAGCGTTTGAAAGCTAAAATCAAGGCGGCACCACACGCGCAGCGCCCGGACATGCCGGCAACACCGGGAGGGCTGTCAATTGGCAACAATGTGCAACAACACGCGGCCATGCTCGGCCAATGTAGTGAAATTTCCAATGTCCCGGCATCTCAGAGGAGCACGCCAATGCCGCATCCATCGAGAGGGTTGTCAATTCGAGACCAGCGTGAGACGAATGTGCTAGAATTTGCAATGGGCCGCCGTGACCGGAGGAAGCAGACAACCAGTACAGTAGCACCGAGAGGGTTGTCCATTCGGAACACGAATCGTCACGGCACCACACACGCAGAACCCTTTTGCGATGCGCGGCGACTCCGACAGGAGCTGCCCCGTCTGTGAAAAGACACTAAGTTTGAATAAATGAGATAAGAGACAAGAGGCAACCTTGCGAAAACCCAGTGGCCAACCAACCTCGCAAAAAACCTGTGCCGTGCGACCTCACGACAACCTGAAAAGCAACCTCACATCAACGGCATGATATCATGCCTTCCAGCAACGTCATCACATCAAGAAGCTGTACGAAAAAACCGCCATGCTTTCGGTAGAGAATGTATCAAATCTCCGGATGTGAGCACTGAGACGAGAAGTGCAAGCAACATGGCAACATGAAAGAGGCCCAAGCAAAAGATCCCCAATGTCATGCATGCTGACCGCTTTGAGTGACATGATGGAACGCGTTTGTGACGCGCCCCGTTGCCACTGTCAGCACGGAGGGCACAACATCAAACCCAAGAAAAATGCCCTTGCGAGCACAGAATAATCTGTTCTGCATGTCAGACTGTTTGTGTCACTGACAAGCATGCCCAGGTACGACTTTATGTGAGGCGATGTGCTTTCCCTGCATCGCAAAGCAGGGCAGCTTTCCATCATGCGAGAGGTGAATCGGTTCCTGCTTTGTTGATTGACCGCACTAGATTTCTAGATACTCTGATGCTTACCTCCAAAAGCTTTTACATTGAAAGGAATTTCACACGTCGCACTGCCTGGAATATACAGTGATACTGACCGCAATCTTCTGCTGCTTGCTTAAAGTATAGCGGCTGTGTCACACGACCGGGTAGGATGTCCCAGGATGTTCTTAAAGTCTGCAGGGTGTGCAAAAACCAAGCCTTGACCGGTTTTGATGCGTCTTTACACCAGCCAGTTGCAGCCTATCTGTGCGCACCTCTGATTGCCCTGTTGACACGAGTCGTGAGCCCGAGAGATTGGCTGCCTTCTTTGAATTTTTCAATGCGGAGATCACAACCATGTTCTTGGATTTCTTGATTAAAAGAGGCTGCTGCAATTCAAGCAGAAGGCCTCGTGTCGCTAGCATGCTTGAGGGAAATGCCGCAGCTCGCCTAGGTGGTCCCATGATCCAAGCTGAGACTCTTCTGGATCTCGATTAGCACATCGTTTGGCCCGACGGCAGGCTTTGGAACCGTGGTTAGTGTCAGGCCCTCCGCACGCTCCGTCTTCACCAGTGCCTGCCACGACGGAACTCTCTGCATAAGCAAATGTGCACGTATGCGTGTACCAGTGCCAGTAGTTGTTGCTCTGATGCTGAACATGATCTCAGCAAGCACTATCGGCATGAGTGTGCAGAGCATCGAAATCTAAACTCTAAACGGAGCCCGAACAGGATGATGGCGATGGTTCAGCAACAGTTCTTTGTCTTGAGGGTTCCTGCTTCGGATAGTGCAAGCATAGCTGCTCAGGTTTCTATCTGCTCTCCTTGGCTTCGCAATGAAGATGTCCGTTGCTCGCGAGACGTGCCCAACAGCTATGCTTGGACACATCTGTCCGTCCGATATACTTTACCGCATGCTGATCGTGACCATGCGGCACGGCTCGGCAATGCAAAACACTCGATCCTTGACCCGGCAGCTCTCTCCGCAGTTGAACCCTTCTACTTAAAGCCGTCTAGCCACCCACAAAACCCATTGGGCAGCATCTAACTGAACTGCGCGTGCTGTCATTTCTTTGACCCCTTCTGCATCCGTTGCGAATCTCTCAAATGTCACTCCCCTGAGTCATGGCTACCAACTTGTCGTCATGTTTGTTAATCTCAAGTGACGACATAGGAACAAGTCACCTTCATACTGGTGCCCCACAGAACGGGTTGAATTGGCTGCGGAATCCCATTGGGCACTGCAGGACTCGCCGCCGTCGTCGCAACGACCTGAGTCAGTCGGTCTCTCTGCAGCGATTGGCACACGCGAAGCAACGTAAGCGTACCGCCTCTGAGGAAAACGATCTCCGGATTGGTTGGGAGAAGGATCTGCTCAGCGCCTTGACTGCGAATTCAGAGAGTCACCGCAATTTGCACTTTGCCTTGTCTCTGCACCTAACGACGGCAGTCAAATGTCACTAGAACAGCTCCTGCGCATGCTTGACATGCTTGACTCGCTCACCCCTCGGCATGTTGGCTTGAATACTGATACTCGAAGCGCAACTTAATTCAGGATACTTGTCCAAAGTCTTGGCATCGCCTTCGGAAATGTAAGGTGCATGCCATGGCAGAATGTGAATCAGACTTGAACCAGAAACAGCTTCTTGTAATAAGCGACATGCTCACAAACAAAGACTGAGCGCAGCATAGACAGGCTGAAACATGCTGAAACCACACAAATCTCTCGCCTTCCTGCCGCCATCACGACTTGGCTGCCACTACGGTCATGAGACTGCACGACATGGTTTCTAAGCCAGGTCTACTCCGAGGATGCCGAGGCAAAGCAATGATTGCGGGGGATGCGCACGGCTGCGGGCAGGGAAACCCCGGGACCGCCGAGCCGAAAGAATCTCGCGCAAGAAATGAAGGGAGACACTCTGCGGCTCTGCGGGCCTGCATCAAAGGGCGCCTTAGAGATCGGAAAGGAAATCTGGACCACACTTGGCCTTCTCAGCTTCCTCTGCAGCTGTTTGCGCCCAGGAGGGGTCCTGTGGACTGGTAAGATTCCATAAAGTCTTCCGAAGCCACTGTGACTCTGGGCAGTCCATCGCAGCTCGAGCACTTAGTTCTTGGACCCGCTGTGCCCCGTCTGCTGCCTCTGGGTGCATCCACTTGGAACAAACTTTGATAGCACCTCTTTGCATCAGTCTACCAGTCTGTCATTGTCACACTGCTGCATCACATGTTCAATTTAAAAAGTCTACATGAGCTGTCCCTGCACTGGCATGAGCAAGTTGGCCGACGAAAAGCTGTGGCCGTGCAATCAATGTCTGGGCTAATGGCTTCCTGCGCGTCCCATATCAAGATCCGGGCATCAGAGCCTGCCAAAATTCTGCAGTCACGCTGTTGGTCGTGCAATGGCAACCACACTGACGCTTGATTCCGCCACTGCAGGCCTCCAGTAGCAAGCCGGCTTCCATCAGGGGACCACGCCAAGCTCCAGACCTGTTGCGAGATCCTAATGGCTGGTGCTATCAAGATTCATCAAACGTCCTAGAGCAAACATGCCAGCACAACCCAATTGGCGTGATTCCGGGGAAGTATCATAACAGGCAGGCCGGTACTTACCTGCCGCCGGACAGCAGATCTTTCCCACCACATTCATTGTTTTATCAAGCTTGATCATTCCATTGCAGAGCACACGACTTAACGGGAGTCTGGGATTTTCTTGGTCTCGAATCCCTCGAACGTCCGGCGTCTTGGTCGAACACCATCTGCTCACCGCATCTTGAGACGAGGCTGCGCGGGCTGTAAAGCGCTGCAGAACAGCTCTGCAAGTCTGTTGAGAACTGTCGCCTGTCAGCTTGCGACTTGGATCTCCAGCTGCAGTGTCGAATCCCTGCCCCATCACTTTCGCATGCAACTTCTCCATGTTGGACCCACCACTGTCTGACCAGGCTCCACCGAAGTGTCACTCAAACGCTCTCCTCACGCAACTGGTGACGGGTTCACAGCTGAACTGCAGGTTGGCACAGGGTCTGAGAATTTCACCAAGTTCTACAAGCATGCTCCTGCGTCTCAGACGCGATGTGTCTGCGTCGCTTAAGAAGAGATGGCCTGAAGTTTCGAGCTGCCCGCGACCAACTGCCTATGTCAACAAAGGCTCAGGCTTGTCCGCCGAAGTCTCCGCGGCAACAATGGCTCCAGCCCGGTCCGATGCCATGTCAGAGGCTATACTCGGCCTTGATGCTTTCGTTTCTAATAGATCCCATGAACTTTCAATCCCGAGCCATCTCTGCATCACAACACTCCTTGACTTTTGCTGTTTGCTAAGGCATCTGCCTTTGCCGTCTCTCCTTCGGAGCACTCGGAGCACTTGCGAGCCCTCGAGTGCGCGGTGCTCGCTTCGGCACCGAGGAGACTCCTTCCCGGCCCCCCCAGCCAACATGAGCAGCGATGACCAGCAACAGCAACTCAACTTCAAGCAAGAACATGGCCCTGGCGCCTGAGGGCACGCTCTTCGTGATCGCCCGACTGACAGCACGAAGCAGCGAGCTCCATGCAAACATCCACAGCCGATATGCCTCTTGTTCAGCATCTCCACCAAGCCTGCACAGAAGTAAGTGATTCTCGAGCAGAGGCAAGCAACTGCTGTCACTTGCTGCAGGAACAACGTCGAAGTCCAGGAAGAGCTAGGTGGGCCTTTCTTCCTGCTCTTGTGTGGCTGAGTTGGCGCCTCGCACGGTGCATCTCTCACGACCCCTTGATCAGCATCTGATGGTGCAAAATCGAAAGCAAGTTGCATACGTAAGTTCTTGGTTCCACATGTCTCGATCTGGCTAGCGGCTCACAGTTACTCCCCAGGTTCACGCCATGTGCTGAATGGTTGTTGGTTTTGGCAATCCAGCTCCAGACGCTCGGTTACGTAATTCTACTTGTGCGCGTACATCTGTCAAACTTTAGGCGGTTTGCTGACCTCGAAGAGGAGAGGGTGGCCCAGTTTGTTATCATGGCCTGGATTTCGGCCAGTATAGGCTTGCAAGCCTTGGGCGAGCTTTGCGCACAAGATGAGCAAGGCGGTTCGCGAGCCTCGTCCCCGGATCCTCCACAAGTCGTTTCCGCCTGCCAGTCCATGCAAGGATCTGCAGACAGAATGCATTTCGCTGAAGACCAAAAGGTTCCAGCTGCACGGTTTCGGAGATGGAAAGACAGGAGGAAAGGCTGGCTGAAAGTGTCTGACAGCAAACGGGCCACACTTCTGAGTCCCGGAGTCCTGTCCTCGGCGCTGACTGCAGGTCCGCCCACACATGGCGCCAAGCCTCTAAATCCAAGCCCACGACCACAGCTGCATCGCTTTGCATTGCAAAGAGAAAGGATGCTGAAAACAGGTGCTTTCTGTCACAGAGTGCGCTGGAGTCACGATCGACATGTTGTGATGTCGTGGCATCTTTGGCCACTCGCAGGTTTGGTCTGTACAACGCTGTGACACAAAACTAACCGCAATTTCGGCACAAAGTCAGAGCTCCTTGGGGCATTCTCTACGGCCGGGCCGCTGCATCAGAATATCAAGCGCACTCCACCTAAGCTGAGAGTTCAAAAGTCCACCTTCGATCATTTTGACAGTGACAACTGTCTTTGGCCATGCATGACGTCGCAACAAGTATGCTGCTGCGGCATCACTGCTTATATGCAGGTCCGGAGATTGCTGCGGTGCTGCATCGTGCTTACGATGCTTTCGATGATCGGAGGAGGTCCCGAGAGGCTCACAGAGGCCGGCCCTCCGGTGGTGGCAGGGATAAAGATGTGGGATGCTGATGACCTTGATGGATCCAGGATGGATCTTGATGGAGTTGATGGTGATGATGGTGGCGACAATGTCCATATGGATGACGATGGCCATGCAGCCGCTGCTGATGGTGATGCTGATGGTTGCGGTGACGATAAGGGTGATGTTGTTGATGTTGTTGATGATGATGATTCTGCCGCGACAGCTGATGACGAAGGCAATAATTCACGAACGGGTGATGAAGATGACGATTAAAATGCTGCGGCTGATGTCGACAACGCTGAGATGAAGATAGATGTTGGAGAATGGGGATGCAAGTAAGTAACAACACAATTTGGACGACGATGACAAGGAGCACAACGACGATAATTGCTGGCAATGCGGGAGGCGGGCGGTCCGCAAGCTGTGCGACCCATATGCTGACCATTGCAGCCAGAGGGTGCAAAGGTTGATGTAAACATGATGCGGCGATGCTTGTAACTTGCAACTACTGCCTGGAGGCTGGTGTGCCCGACATGTGGTGAATTCGGCATGCATCCACACACAGTCGGCGAGATCAACCATCGATTGCACGATCCGGAACGCCACATGCTCCACTGTGCCGCCTGCGAGAGGATACTAAAATGTCTGGACTCTCACATGCGAGTGAACGTCGCGTCCACGGACTTTGTCACCTGCGAGCCCCTGTAACTTGTAAGTGCCTTGCCCGAAATTATCAACTCGAAGTCGCGCATTGACTGGGTGAATTTTGAAGTGGTGGTGTGAGGCTGGTGACATTGAACATGACATTGCTGCCAAGTGTCTGATGGTCTCGCAGCCAGAGATGCGAATCGTAAACGGGTGGGTTTATGTTGGGAAATCACATGAAACTTGTTGAACGATTTACTGCTGGATCATGTCTGTCCCTTGCTGTCCCATGTCTTGACGGAGCATTGCATACTTGCGGCGGAGGGACTGGGACGAAAGCTAGAAGCGTCAACAACCGAGGCTTTTCCAGTGAAGGCAAGCATGCATACACGCCTACTGAACTTCCAATTACAGAAACCCTAACTCTTGAACCCCTCGAATGAGCACCAATACCATCCCCCTCAATGTGGGTGACACCCACTGGGCCAAGCCATGCTCTGCTTGCGCTTCTTGTTCGTCTAGATGCAGCTGCTACTACATATGACTGTATAGTCGAGTACTAGTATAGTATGAAATGGTAGAAAAACAGTGTATGGAAGAGGTTGGATCAGAGCTTCATGCACATATATATATATATATATGTACATATACACAAACATACCATAACTTACTCCCCCAATAGCCACAGAAATAAAAGGTTAAACTTTCAGATTACTACTAAACTATAAGAACCCCAAAAGTTTAAAAGTTTTGTATTGGAGAACTAAGATAAATACATGTGTATATCATGCCTAGAAGCCAATGGCTTCAGGTCGGGCGCCCAACATAGAACAAGTACGCGACGCGTGAGCGGAGCTAGCAAGCCACATCGTGAACATCATTGGGGGCCTCTTGGATCCCAATCCGAGCCAACAAGCGCGGAAACAGTAGAAAAACAGTGTATGGACGAGGTTGGATCAGAGCTTCATGCACACATATATTTATATATATGTACATATACACAAACATACCATAAACACATGTGTATATCATGTCTAGAAGCCAATGTCTTCAGGTCGGGCGCCCAACATAGAACAAGTAGGCGACGCGTGAGCATCATGAGCTGCAAGCATCATAAGCATCGGAGCCAGCAAGCCAGCAGCAAAGTAAAGTGCTGCTGAGAGCTCTTCAGGAAACGGCGAACATTAGGATGCCCACGAGATACGGGTCGCTTCAGCTTCTGTTTAAAGAGGTTGAGCAGAGCTGCATATGCACAAACATAACATAAATGCATGTATATATCATGCCTAGAAGCCAATGGCCTCGGGTCGGGCGCCCCAGATAGAACAAGTACACGACATCACAAGCATCGTTGGGAATGTCGTGGGTCCCTATCGGAGCTAGCAAGCGCACATCGCGAACATCATTGGAGGCCTCTTGGAGCCCAATCCGAGCCAACAAGCCCGCATCACGAGCATCATTGGGAGCTTCTTGGGGCCAACAAACGCGCATCATGAGCATCATCGGGGAGCCGTTTTTCCACTCGGAAGCAGTGCGAAGCACCACATTCAAACACCTCAAAACGGACCCGGCGGGGGAAGGCCGAAAACCAGCACCAGGTGGGGGATAGCCCCAAATACGCGCAAAAAATGCCCACCTGGCCGGGGGCCCTTCCCCACACCCCTAGATGCAACCTTTCGGTTGGTAAGGAACTCAGCTAGCCACGGAAGCTAGCTTTCGTGATTGACTGAAGGCCCTGACACTTGCGACTGAGAACACATGCTCAGCCAGTGAAGGGAAGGGCTACTGTACAAGTAAGCTTACATCGATACACCACGTGTTCATAAGTCTGCAGGTGCCTACAGTGTTGAAAGTACACGGTGACTCGATAGACACGTGCGACAACGAAACGAAAACAGGACAGAGGCGCAAGGTTCGTTTAGAGCTGCAGCTGCTCATGCGCAAGTCGCCGAGAGACACCATCAGCAAACAACGCACTGAATCCGGGTATCTGCTTTTGCTTGTGTCGAAAACGAAGCACAAGGTGCCCACCATCTCTTGCAAACATTCTATTGCAATATCTCATGTCTCATCCGAATAATGTGGCAGAGCGTGCTGAAAGCTGTTACAAGCAGAGTGTGCGTCCGAGATGCACATCGCTCGAATGGCTTCCTCGGAGCCAAAGCCGGTCTTTGCGCTGATGAGGTATGCCTTCCAGCATGAACTTGGTGTTCCGAAAGTCTCGAACAAGTTTCGAATAAGGTTGGCAGGCCATGCTGTACTCTTCAGCAAAGTTGCTTTGCACTGGCGGACAGTGCTTGATGCCGTGCAAGAAGCCGCAGCAGCACTGCACCTGGCCTTCAATCGCGAGTGCTCGGTACAACAATGCAATAATGCACGCATTAAGGGATTCCTTCGAGCCTGAACATCTGCTCCAGAGCTGCTAGCCACGGCGATTCTGGCCTCTTTGCTGTCGTCTTCTGGGTCTGCATCCACCTGTCCGCGGAAGCGTCGGAGCGTCGGACTTCAGCTCGTCTGGTCGTGACCAGGCCTTGTTCACCAAAAGAATGACAGGTGCGCCTTCGGGCAGGTAGCCAACGGCTTTGTTGAAGGAGCTGCCGAAGGGCACCTGCCACTCACAGTACCGCGGCACTCAATCCGGTCTAGAGTCTACCTTGTAATGGGTCCGCACCTCATCGAAGCTGTCTGCATCAACCACGAAGGCAAGCACGTCTGCTCCAGCGATGTGCCTGAGCTGGAGCTGACAAAGCTGCAGACAGCGAGTCCTCGGCATTGCAAATTGAGCTGCTCCCAAAGGCCCTGGGAAGACCCAACAGGAAGTAGCAGCAGCTGAATTCTCTCGAAAGGTCGAGCAAGAGGCTCCCAACCTCAGCTTTGAAAAGTGCCAAAAGGTCCAGTCCACACGGAAGAAACCCGGAAGTTCTGCTATGCCATGCTCTGCTATGCTCTACAGATTTCATCAGCCACCTGTTCCGGGAGGCGGTCGCTCGAGCCACACGTTGCTCGTGAAGCGTGTCGCCAGCGACTTGGCGCCTGCTGCAGGCATCCCTGCAAGGACCACCCGGACCTCCTTGAAGTTGCCTCACACAGCTATGCAGCGCAGTTCCAGCGGTTGATGAGCCTTTCTCAGCAGCAAGCCTCCATTGCCAGTCTGGGAATTTCCCATTTGATGCACGCTCCCGGTACCCGGCGTCGAAGGGTTGCAAGCTTTCCCGAAAGCTCTTGCGTCAGCACTGCTGCTTTGAGAAGCTGGCCCAGAACATGCAAAGACTATTACCACACGCTGCTGAAGCTGTACATGCTTCAGTGGCTTCGCGTTAGGGAAATGGTGCTGCGGCACGATGTTGCAGAGAGAAAGGCAGAGAAACAAGTTCCGGAAGTTGCATGCAGTGGCATAGAACATGGCAACGAGAGCATGTTGCTTGTCACTGTCACCGCCTCCAGTATCAGGATGCTGCGTCAAAGACGGACGGGCAGTTACCTGCCACAACAAGCAACCCCGTTCCTGCATGGACTGCTTGGCAGGATGGCACAAAACAAGCGAAGCTGTGCCGAATGGTTGCCGGCTGGAGCAGCCGCCGGCCTCACTCTGCACGAGCCGAGGAATGTCGGGGGCCGGAGCTGTTTCCGCAAAACCTGCCTTGAGGGCCTTGAGGGTGTTCGAGCTGAGCCCTCCTGCAAGGTTACGCGTTGGTGCCCCGCTGTTGCACAAGGCATTTCTCAGTGCGTAATAAGTGGACATCTGGCAGAGGGATCATTTCTAGAATTACGTTAGAGACTTCGAGATCGCCGTCCTTAGCAGGCTTTCATGTGTGTAAGAGGGAAAACACTGTGCGCTGCGGCATTTTTGAAGCAGGGCCAGGGTCAGTTCAGAAGTCCCTTCTCTTCTTTCTTCCCGGCACCAGAACCGCCAGGGGCTCCACATGCATCCAAGGCATGCTTGGGGTCCACAGCATTGCTGACATACGAGTTGGACACTCAGAAGCAGCAGCAAGTATGGTGGGTAGTAGTAGGGATCCGGGGCTTGCCAGCAAAAACCGTGTCATCATCCAGCGCGTTGGCAACAACCACTGAAGATCTGGCTCTCGTTAGGAGGAGAAGCGCCTGAGAGCTTCTTCGAGCTTTCTTCGCAAAAATCTCTTCCAGTACCTCGGGGGTCCAAATGAGAGCAGCTGTGGCAATCTCGAAATTTCGAGCCGAGTCCGGAAGAGCTCTTGCCTGGCTGTTGTGCTGCGCATCGCAGAGCAGGGCCGCCAGCACAGGGACCTGCAGGCCAAGGTGCTGTCCATATGCACATGTAACAGTACACACGGCAGATCATGTCACGTATCAGTAGCAGAGCGTACGCCTTCGACTCCAGCATCAAACAGAGTCCTCTCAAAGCTTCGCAAGGTTTGACATTCACTCTTGGCCAGTTTTCAGACCTTCGTACTGCCCGCATAGCATCTGCAACTCGGCGGCCACGTCCATTTTGTTGTCCTTACTACTGTCCAGAACAAGGAGCAGGGCCTCCCTCAATGCAAGCGGCCTTCAATGTATGCCCGGCAGTCTTCTGATGCCTTGCTTGCTGCATGTCCGTAATCACCTGCAACAGATCTACAATCTACAAGCAGAGAGAGGTCAAGCAGACAGCTATAAGGCCACCATTCAATACAAGACAAGCCTGGCGCAATGCCCGCACTGTCGGCGTAAGGCAACGCTGCAAAAAGCAATCCTGCACCGTTGCATAGGGAAATCGCCCAGACCGAAGGAAAACTGGGCCCTTGCAAAGCTTGTTCTTCGTCCAACAATGTCCAACACAAGCTCCCTAAGAGGAGGAATGCCGTATGCTATGTAGGTCTGTCACTGCTGAAAGTCGCATTCTCGCCATCTAGAGCTGTCCCCTGCTCTTGCGTTGCCAGTTTAGGGATGTTTAATGCTCTGGATGATCGAACCTCCAGCTTGGATAGGCTCCGGCTCCAGGTTCAGGGAGCTTTGCCATGCTTTGAGTGTCGAGTATTCTCATCTCGATGTGGGCGGCCTTTCTCCTTTGTTCACAGCCGACATTCGAAAGGATTATGGATACGGCGGATATGGGGTTCGGGGTGGATGGCACCCGTTTGATCGTGTTTGCACTTTGTTGTCATGGCTGTTCGATGCAAAGCTGGCTTTGCGAAGGTGGTCAAATGTGCGGTCGCCGGCTATTTCCACGTTGGTGTCACGGTTTGTACTCTCTCATTGCAAAATGTGGCTAACTCTACACTAAAGACTGCAGCAAAGTAGCATTGGAGGAGGCTAGCACCTGCGTGACACTGTCATGCACTGTATGTCATAGACCTCGGATCCACGACAAGGCAGGCTCGCTAAAGCAATAATGACCCCGTAGCATGGCACGAGCGGACACGTTATCAGGCCGCGCCCCAGCCCACCCGTGCGAACAGACAACCATTGAAAACCAACAAATAGTGGGCACCGTAATGCCCCGCTGCACTGTTGAAGAATCGATTCCCATAACATGCTTGGTCGAATGATTCTTGCAGGTTCGGAGGGCTCATGTGTTTTCCCCGGTCTGCTACAGTCACCCGATCTCCCGCTTAACAGAAGACCTATCCTCAACGCTGCAGTTCATGAGCAGTGCAGGTTGGCCTGCGCGACAAGGCTGCACAGCCTTGGCATTGACACATACTTGTATTAGGCATGTGTAGAGGGATCCAGGAACCAACAGCTCAAGGCACTCATGCGCAAGATCAAGCTCAAGGCTTTGGGCTCTCCTTCTTCGTGTTTAAATCCAGCATGCTGTAGGCCAAGATTGCATGTTCCGGAAAGGACGCAGGCCGTGGATAAATTTATGTGAGAAGCTCAAGAGGTTGGACTTCAGGAGTCAGGTTGACCGAGAAGCTTATGAAAGGAGCTGAGTGCACCAAGGTGTCGACAGGTCAACGGTGCGCACAGCCAATCCACATGGCTCTAAGTGTCAGGTTTCAGGCCCCCACGGCACGACTTCGACCTGCCAAGCCCAAGCCAATCGGACAAAGTGACTTCGAACTTTCCAGAACATTATAGGACGTCAGAACGAAGGTGCGCCTTTAAGGTCACGAGGACCAACGTTCCTGCTAAGAATGTCAAGCTAATATCCAGGCACCACATCAGGTTGCAAGGATGTCCTCGAGACACGGAAGTTCGGAAGGCCGTTACTGTCTGCCTTCCGCTCTTAATGATGTGAAACGCAAGCCGCGAGAGAGCGCGAAGTGCAAACAAAGCTCGAGGAGCCTTGTTTCCATTGCATTCGCAGCCCGTCCAAAGACCAAGGCGACGCAGTAGTCTGCACACTGTTCTTCCCAGCACATGCACTGCGAGAAGAGGCAAGCTGGGATCGCAGCCGGCAAAGTTCTCTTGATATTGGAGTTGCAGCCTCATGTCCTGTCCAGCATTGACAGACTTCCCTTCTCCCAAGCTTGCCGAGAACTTATCACTTTTTCAACAGGACTTCAGTATCTGCCCGTCAGCTGAGCAGCTTGCGGCTTCGGTAACTTCCGAGGGGCTTGAAGTGTACCAGCCTTGACATCACATCGAATCATGCCGATCTTTGTATTGCTGTGCAAGGCTGTGCGGCCGGGTGCTGCGAGAGCAACCCCAGAAGCTGCGAAACGTGAGGCAGCTTCGTCGAATGCTACCGTGTCATCCGATTGCTTTTAGGTGCACAACATCGCGTAACTTGATATTCATGTACAAGCAGCTTAAGACTCGAGACAACCTGCAGATACCTGCAGGATCTACTAGGTGCGGGGCAGCCGCCCCGGTCCGCAACGCAGCAAAACAGAGAGGTCCAGGCTTTTTGCGAGCAGATTACAACACCGAATGCGGTATCTGTAGCAAAGGCTGCCTTGCATGCTGAGACTGGGCTCACCGCCCACAACTTTGGTAGACCGCGAAACCTGTCCACCACGTAGCTGAGTCAGTAGAAATTCGAAACGAAGGCGCAGTGGCCTGCTCGGACATTGCCTGGCCAAAAGCGGTCGCGTGTAACGGGGTCTCTACGGTGGCTCTTAATCTGCCTTTCTGCAATCGGTTCCATGTTGCAACAACGTGTTGATTCACAAACTTGTGATTCGACAAGTCCTAAACCTGCATCAAACCATTATAGAGTGCATTGATAGTCTACGATCGACGGCAAAAAGGCTGGTTTAGAACACCCCCGTAACTCAGGAACTGACCTTCGGCTTGGCACGAGTGCTGGATGTGGAAGTCTCGCCGGACGAGTTTGACGGGCGCAAGGAATTGAGCAGTCGGGAAAGTTTCCAGTGTCTGAAACCGGAAATCTAGTATCTTTGACCCTGAAACGGGACACATGGCTCTGCAGTGCCTGCGCCGTTGCTTTTTTGATTCGGGAAAATGAATTATCGTGGCCTGGAAGCCGAATATTAATTAGATTCCGAGCTTCGCACACTCCCTAAAAGGACTGTGCACTGCAAGTTAACGGAGCCTCAGCTCATTCAACATTCATTCTCACATGTCGTGCCGTCCTGTCTCACTCTATATTTAATCCATGTACGTAGAGCTGACCGTATCCCCTCCGGAGATTCTTGCTTGCTTCGTGTGCGTCATCGTCGCGACCACATCACTTTAGCCGGTGCGGCCTCGCACATGCACAATTAAACTTAACAAGCGCGGGGCCTCAGCTTGCTGTTGGGCGGCCACAAACCTGCCACCATGAACACTGAAGGCGGGCTGTTGGACAGAGCTTCCTGTTGCTCGAAACTTTAACTGTAACAGCTGTAACTCAGTCGCAGACTCTTCCTCGGTCTGCTCATTGCCTGACACTGCCAGCAACTAACCACTGCAACCTTGCAAGTCAAATCGGCTAGCTTCTACAAGGTAGCTGTTGATCACTGTTGATCCAAAGTCTGTCTGAGATGAGTGCCCGCTAGGCCACTGGTAGTCATCTGCAGGTTCCAAACCTAGGGGCGGCGAGCTGGATCTTTGCAGCATGATTGGAGATTCGGTGCTCGACGTTTGGCAAGCACAGCGGGTGACAGATGCTAAGTCACCTGCAGCAACATCTTTGTCCAGGGAGCTCGAACCATTGACCTGTGCGATATCTGCTTGTGCAAACGATGCAATTGCTCTTGACAGCACGACAAGCATGCATGCTGGTCGACAAGCTATGTGCAATGGCCCAAGGCTCGGGGGGCATTCCCACGTTAAACTGAAGTCGAACACGAGACACGTTGACATGGAACTCCGTGGTGGGCACCTTCAAGGCATGCCTTTTGATTCTTTGTGTTCTTCATTGTTCTGCCGTGCACGTCAGCGCCGTACACACTGCCTTCGAGAGTATCGATTTTGGCGGCAGCTAGTCTACGCCGTGCTTCCCGACTCCAGGCGGCTTGAGTGGTTTTCGAGACGGAGGGACCGCGAACACCATTAGATTCCGTTGGCAACAGCCTTGTCACCCGACAAGTCTGCTGGAAGGCTTCTGCATGGGTGGACTCCAGCTTGACGGGGAGAGATAGTTAGGTGGTCGACACACTGGAAATTCGGAGATTCGGCAAGGAAGGTCGAAGCTGCTTGCAAGCTGTCTCTCTTTACTTCATTTAACCACCAAAGGTGCAGATGCAACAAACATGTGAGCAAGACGAATTAACCCCGCACGCCATAAACCGTTTTAGCAGCATCCCCGTAATTAAAGGAGGCGATCGGGAAGTTTGTCATGTCGCACCTCTATCACCCCTGCAGTACAGAGCTTCCGTGGTCATCATCAAGGCTGTAGACTGTAGCACAGCAGCGATTTACTTATCGCAAAACGCTCTTCCATTTCTCAAAGCCATCATCCGCTCAAGCCAGGGTGGGAGCATGTGGCAGCGCGCACACACACACACTGGGAAGTTTTGGAAAGCCTGCAAAGCCACTTGACACCTTCGACCATGCTTGCTTCTTGCCGCAAGTATCTCCTAGATCATGCTGCGCGAAGTGATCGTTGGAATCACTTGTGAGCCCCGTTGTATCTGTCTCCCGGCTTTCTCTCGGCAATACTGAGGACAAAGGCATGCCAAGCAGAAAGCGTCGAACCATCGCAGATGCTCGGCACTGGACGTTTACGTCTCCGAACAGTGCTCCTTGAGCTTTTGCCTCGGTGCGATAAGACATGGCGACGCACTTCTACTCTTGCGCAGAAGATTCCTGTGTGGGCAAGGCACTGTGAGGCGCGACTGCTCCAGACATGCCTGTCATTGCCGCAATGGCCCGTAAATGGCTGCTGCAGCAATTCATGTTGTGCTAACGACTGCGCGCCACTGCCTGCAAGACGCTCTCTCCAAGAAGGACCCGGCCACGTGCCGACAGATTCTGACCGCGGAACGTGGCATTGCTCATATGATTTACTGAACAGATGTAGTGCCATCGACACCCCTCCACATAAGGCTGTACATGCACACCACTCAGTTTGCGGTGGGTCTTGCTAAGGAAGCTTCCGTGCTAGTTCTTGTATCTCTGTTGAAGCATTTCTGTTTCTGACACATGCTGGAGTCTGAAAAAGGCAGCGAAAGCAAAGACGCGCACATAACTACACTGAAGCGAAAGGCTCGCCAGCATGTTTAGCGTAGTCTCAAGAGAGGTTCGCCTCCCACAACCGCACGGTGCCATCAGCACTCGTGGATGCCAGTAGCAAGTCATCAGGTGAGTAGGCCAAGCGCCAAATCTGGGTTCAGGGGAGACATTTGCTCTCACGGACAGGGACACATCACACCGGAATGCTTGTGAGCCGAGGGCCGTGTCTGCATGTCCGATGAGAGGAGCCAGCAGCTGATGTGTAACAAGGCACCTTGCTTGCCCAATGTCCAATTGGCATGAACTGTGCAGTAATAACACTACAAGCAGGGACTTGCAGAGGGATGGACCAGAGATTGATCCTGTTGTCACTGGTTGCTGTGGCCAACTGTCTCTGGTTCTTGGTGACCTTGCACGAACCACGAAAGTCCACGGTCAGTCACACGGCGTGCATGGGGCTGAAACCGCAATGGTCCAAACAGGAAAGATCTGCTGATACCTGTCGCTTGCTTTCTGGGGCCACAAAACGTGCTACCGTCTCTACCGTAAAATTGTGTTTGCTGGCGCACGTCTCCCCGGTGGGGTCAGGCACATTTGATGTGATGTGAAACCTGAAATGGGAACAGCATGGCCCAGCAACACGTAGCAGAGCGAAGCATGTGACAAGGACCGCCTTCGTCCCCAGGCCTTCTTTGAAGCGCCGCCTGGCGAAATTGTCACAGGAAGCGAATCCGAAGTCCTCAGCGGCACTGAGTCGCCAGCTGCCCATGGTCTTCGTGCCACGAGTCCAAGGGACTGTTTGACTTTGCACTCTGTTAGTATCTGAAAGCTCGGGTCTGCGGATGTCTGCGGTATGTCGATTTCCCAAATCATGATTTAGCATGAAGTCGACAGACAGATATTCGAAATGTCTGTACACTCGTGAAGCCAAAGATATTTAAAATTGCTTGGGCCATGGCGGCATGGCGAATTCTAGCTGCAGGACACTCGACACAGAAGCGCGCAGGACCAAGGCAATGAGGCGGCGGCTAAGTCCGCCTTAGCCTCGACATGCAGAATACAAGCTTCACTGGTAGGTCGTTGGCAACCGAATCCGCGGCGGCCCCCGGCGGTCCCAAGCGGCCTTCTCTTTGTTGAGCTCACCGGCGAGTCGACTTTGTGAGATGCGAAGCTGCGTCTGCCCGGACTCCCCACCCCCTTGTGTGGTCTTGGACTTGCTCTGAGATGCAGCATCTTGCCTCGAAGTCCAGCTTGAATTTCTGAAGCCGGGAATCTTTGTCCAGCACCTGCCCAGCAAGTGGAAGCACACAGGCATGCTGGGCAGAACTCGCGGTGCACCTGAAGCTCCAGATCGCGCTTCTCCTAGTGCATGGCTGAAGCACCAGTGTTGGACACACAGCAAACCCTGACTGCCCTAGTTTCTCCGCCTGTTGATGTCGCTGCGCAGCATCCTCAATTTTGCCGGTCAGCGTCGCCTCTGCACTGTCCCATGCCATGTGCCCACGGAAAGCACGGGCACGTGGCCTCCGTGCGCAAAGCACCCTCAAGGGCCTCCGTCACCTGTCCGCACAAGCCCGAGAGATAATCATTTGTAAAGAGCTACAACGCCGATCCTCGTTCAATTCCTTGGATAGTTGCTGCTTGGCTTCCATTACCTCGGACCAAACAAGCTGCGATCTGTGCACCTGGCATGCAGAAGGCCCCTGCAGCTGCAGCTTCTTGTGCTTCCGACCTGACACGGATGCCGAACTCTAAGAATCCAATGCCGGCAAGTCGTCCGGCCTCAAGCGCTGCAAGTCCTGACTCGAGTTGTAAGTTCACTCACCATGCACTCAACCATGCTGTTTGGACTCAGTATAATCGGGAAAAGGAACGGAGCAGCCAAGAAAGGAATCGGGTACCTGGGAAATTGACGGTTCTGTGAGAAGGTAAATCTGCTGTAAGAAAAGAACGGCCTGAAAAGATTCCAAGAGCAGAAGTAGAAGGGACAAAAGACAGCAGCAGCACAGCCTTACGACCTGGTTTCCCGGGTCTACCTCTAGCCTCGAGCATTCATCGTACGTCCTTGTCGGTCGCTTCAAGCTGGGCCTGTAGGAAGCAGAAGACCAACAGCGTGGCAGAAAGAAGGGCCCGATCTCACTGCCCAAGCTGGAAGTTGAGTATAGCGCGCACAAGCACGAAAAGTCACACATAGGCACGCAAGGCAAAACCGCTGTGTTCGGCAGCTTTCGTGCGTGGCATTGGCGACCACACGATGAGCCTGCCTGCTTGGTGTTGAGGGATCGGATCGCTTCTTTGAGCTCTGACTGAACGCCGTCCTTCTTCAGAGCATCGGAAGAGCCTCTCAAACCTTTCTCGGACATGCAGCCTTCTCCCTCTCCAAGGCCAGCATCTTGGCAGAGGTTTCGTCTTGCACCTTCCATCCAGGCAAACATCAGTGAAAAAGGGGGCCTCGCATTCTTGCACCAAGTAGAGCACTCGGCGCAGAGACTCGACCTAGCAAGCTCTTTCTCTCCATCTTTTTGATTGGGTATGAGGCTGTCGCTGCGGCTGCGGACTCTCTGTCTGTACCTTCTTCTCTTTCACTCTACGTTTTCGGGAATCGGGCATGCGACTCTCTCCATCGGTCGTATTGCTCCTGGCTCTCCTGCAGCGAGGGCATCTGAAAAGCCTTCACATCACAGCGCGCAAAGTGCCCTGCTCTTTTCTGATGGACAGAAGCGGGAAGCATGCTGCTGAAAATGCCCCGTGACGACCACCTCCTCGAGTCTTTCTGGTTTGCTGGATGCCATGCCACGAACTTGTTGAGGTTGTGGAGGTTGGGGCATGGTTCGTGCTCTTTGGTTCCGATTAAAGGTCCACCTGTGGGCTGGAAGAGGCTGTGGACCAAGCAAGGCTCAAGTGCATGCGTTTGTTGAGCATCCTTGTTTCAATGTCTCAGACGTATGCTCTTCAGACGTGACGGCCCAGACCCGTTACAAGCCGGTGTGCAGAGCGAGTGCACCTCCGATGGCTGCAAGCTGTCCGGTTAGAAGCAAGGCCTAAACGGTGTCCTGGTTCGGCCAATCGGAACAGGGTGCAGCAAAGGCTGCGTGGAGAGAGGCCCCTAGACCAGGTCGGACATCACAGGAGGCAGCAAAAACGCAAGTCCAGTCCAAACTTACGGATGGAGAAGCAAATAGTGTGGTGGCGGGAAAAGTCAAGCTTGAGACAAATGCAATCGATGGATCACCGCGCTGGCCGTTCGTTGTTTCGGTCGGAACATCTTGGCGACGTGGCGCTTTAATGTATCCTCGCCTGAAGTCGTCAAGATCTATCTTCGGGGCTCCTTGACAGAGAACGCGCGTTCAGGATGAGCATGTCCCGACTTCAAACTGACTTTGCTTTATCGAGCCAGACTCATGGCGCCTGGAATAAGAAAACGGCAGCTGCTGCTTCGCACAGTGTGGCTACAGTGTGGCTCATGTCGTGAAACATCGTGGGTACGTTATGTCATCGTGTCTCGCCAGCTTGTGTGCCTGGCACCTCGAGATGCATGGAAAAACCCTTAACAAGAGATCCTACAACCAAACAGTAGCCACTCGGATTCCTCCTCGCCACCCACGGGCAGAAATGGTATTCAACACTCTCCATATTCTGGCACAGACATGCAGAGAGTCTGGAGATTGCACTGATCAGGCCGAAAGATGGTGCTGTTGCAACCCTCGCCCTTGTTGTGTGCTTTGGTTCTCTCGCATAGGTGATCGGCATGATGACATGCTCGCAGTGTTAACAGCTCGCTGGAGCGCAGCAACTGCGTCGGTGTCTACGACACAGACACCTCTCGGTTCCACAAGGAACCGCTTTACGCGTGTCCAGCTGATCAAGGCTCGAGCCCCCAACTAGACAAGTCGCTTCGCTGCGCACGATCGACGATAGGCTAAGCAAGCGGCGTCCCGTGCAAGTGTGGGAAACAGCTATCGAAAAAAACATAGTAAAATGTGGCGGAAAGTTGTGAACTCAGACCTGACTTGCACAACAGCTAAGCCCAACATCGGTGTACATGGCGGGCACGTGTTCCTTCCTCTGGAACGTCTGCCTTCTAGCCACCAGGGCTGCTCCTTTGGGTTCAACTTTTAACCTGCGTGGTGTCTGAATCCAGCTCGCAGATGTTGGAGCAGTTCTGCTACATATACCCCCGACATGCGATGGACTCGTCCAGGCATGGCTCTTCCTGACTCTGTTGCAAGACTCTGCAAGACACAGACCGACCAAAGAGGCTTTCTCTTCAGAAAGGACCCGGGGAGTTGCGCTGATGTGTTGCTGCGGAGCTCCTTGGCCTGCTGAGCCTCTTTCACCAGCATCTCCTCAAAACGACCAAAGCAAGCAAAGCAAAGCATGTCGAAGCTGAAAAACGAGCCAGGCAGCCAGACCTGCAAGCGTTGCCTGTCTGCCTCAAGCACCTCACGCTCACGTGAAGCCTCGGGCTTCGGAGGAATTCGCTCTTCCCTGGTGATTCTCATGGCAATCAGAGACTGCAAGTGCCTCTTTGGACAGCTGGTTGACGGCAGTTTGCAGATCATTGACTTGGTCTTGTAGCGCCGTGTTCCTTGTCTCAACCTGATGGGCATAAGTTCAGCCACATTTGCAAGGGCTCTGCTTCAATGAGCGATTGCGCCGATGCCTGCTGCAACAACGCAGCGGCTTCGGACCTTTGGGCCTGCATCGAATCCCCGAGACTCTGAAGGGCAGCTGGTGTACGCAGCCTCCGCGCGATGCTGCTCGGACTGCAGAGACAGCCTGCAGGCACCATCCGCGGCGTTTGAGCTCAAACCTTGGAACCTTCGCCTCGTCTCCGCCACTTCTGCAGCCAGCAGATCCCTCGCATGGCCTACCTCCTGTCGGCAACACGAGGACACAAAGCTGACCGGAACGGGACTCAGGTCTCCTGCATCTGCAGGCGTACAGCACTCAGCGTTGCAGCAGACCTAAATGAAATGCGCCGCATCTTTCTCAGAGCAACTGCGACAAAGGAAAGCGCAGCAGCGGTCCGAGCGAATCATGCGATGGGAGGCAACTCTTTTGGCTTTCGAGGCATCTTGATGCATTGCATTACATGACGGTCGAAGAAATACCCTGAGCGAGCTCTGAAAGATCTGAGAGTATGCCAGCTGCGATCAGTAGGTGTGCACAGCTGGGGTACATTGTCGCGCAAGCTTTCTCCTGATTAATGGCCTCCATAATTGAGTTGCCAATGTTAGGCCACTTGCATAAGCAGTGCCTTGCAGAACCAAGCCAAGTATTGGCTCAACAACAACCTCTGGCACCCGCTCCGAGGCCTGCACCGATGTCAGAATTGAAAGCACAACATGTGACCCCGGGGCCAAGATGAGCGTGACTGGAACTATCGTCAGAACAGCAGGAGCGGCGGTCAGGTACTCCCGTAAGAGAGATAAGTTGGCTGCCACGAAGAGAACGAGACAGTCAATTATTCTGGCGGGTAGCCCCTTGAGCTGAGGTAGCTCTTGGAGTGCCATGTAGAGCAGCAGGCTGATGTAAGCGGCCAATCCGGGAAGCAACATCTGCGAGATTGGAATATTCAGTCCTATGAAGGATAGGAACAGCAAAGGAATATTCCATCCTAGAAACACCATCTCCCAAGAGTATGGAAACTGGCAAGACATGTCTGCAGGCACCAGCGATGCAGCTGCCACCGAAATTGGGGCTTGGCCGGCTTTTGCTTGATTTGCCTCATGGCCAAAGAACTGCCAACCAACTAGAAGTGCAATGGCCAAAAACATACACCGAACGATGCAAGCTGCCAGCTGGCTCGCTCCATTTATGATGTTGCTGAATTGCACCTCGTATGCCCCGTAAGTCAGTTGTGATCCGGGCAGGTAAATGAGCAGAGGCGACAAATAAAGGACGGGAACATCGCAGGTCGGGATCTCCATGTGGCGCAGCAAGAGTGGTGTTAATAGTCCAATTGTCAGCGCAACGAGAAAAGCCTCTAGAGCAGCACTTGTTCGTCTTGACAGGATTTGCACACAGATGGCGAAAGGGGTAATAACTGCTACTGCCAATGCATCTCTGTATGTACCCATAAACGCGGCCAGAGATGCCATTACGCAAAGAGCATAAAATGCCAGAAAGTGGACAAGCGGCCCGTAAGGCTCTCTTTGAAAGAAGATTTCATCCAAAAGGTCCATCGCCCCTTGCAAGCTACCCCTGCCACTCATCATTAGATTGGAGAGTCGACTCGTAGCCGCGAGCTTGTCGGCATTGATGCCTCTAGCGAAATCGAGAGAATGCGTAATCCCACCAAGGAAGCACACATGCAGAGTTCTTAAGCCAACATTCAAAGAAACTACAGGCAAGTCTATCGTGGCAGATACGCCGTGAACAATATCTTCGCAATCTGAGGCTGTTTGTCCAAACATCATCAGAGCAAGGGCAAGCTTGAGAACACAAGCTGCCTTGTCTGCTTGATGACTTTGCCCATGAAGGTGGTAAAGGTGCAAAAGGTCAGCATGAGTCAAAGATTGCCCAGGAGCCAGGGACCTTTGTCTCCTTGAGTCCCGCAGTAGGCCGGAAAGACCAACTTGCTCTGCTTCTTGCTCTGCACTGTGCAGGGATGAAAGTGCCTCCAACGTCGTTGGAACGTCAGCGAAACTTCCTTGCCAGTCAATGTACAGCAGGCGGTGCCACCAGTGCTGCTCGGAGCCGTCCCAGTGCTCACTGTCAGACTCTTCGTTTTCCATCGCTGTACTATCCGGCAGACTTCAACTTCGAGCCCAAACCCTGGTAGCTTACCGCTCCCGATGGCATTAAGTGCTACTTGGCGCTGAGCGACTGAGCGATAGACTCGGCCAGCTGACCTTTCAGATTGGCAATCGTCTCTCCATGTTGGCTCCGCTCCTCCAGCAGTGGCCGAAGTCAGAGGTTCGCATACGCATCCCCTCCTTCTGTCCCCTAACTCATTCCTGCAAAGACTACCCTTCACCTGCGGCCGGGCCGAGGCGGACGACGCAAAGCATTACAACAAAGATGCAAATACAAGCTGCTGTCCTCCGAGAGTCTCGATTCCGAGCCTGAGGCGACGTTGCTGGGCTAGGAGGGCAGGCGATCGCACGAGAAGCAACACCCAGTAATCAACATGACATGTGTGAAAGTTCTCATCAGTGTTCTTGCACGTGCCAAAACTTCTGTTGCCACCTTCGCATACCATAGCTTCCACATGATCTCCCATAGCTGCTCGACGCCCACTAACTTCTTACATGCAGCTTGTGTTGATACAGTTGGTGTAAACGACTGGACAACTAGTCAGCTTCAGAGGAAACACGCAAAACAGCTTGGGTTGCACTGTAAGAACGCTTGAAGCAGCCCTTCGTGGGATCTCAGAAGGAATCGGGGAATCCTACAGGACTTTGGTACGAACTTCAATGAACTATGTAAATTTCGAAGCCAGACATACGATGTATTGATCCGCTTCGGGAGTAGTAGTGGGCGCCTGCCTCCCCACCCCCCTTCCTCCCCGCCCGAATCGCAAACCCAACCGCGGGGCTGTTGATTCCACTTCCGCAATACCGTCAATACTAACTCACTAGTCATCGGTGCTGGCACATGTTTTTGTGCGTATACGGCCGTACTATGTAAACAAACTGTACGAAATAATGACACTTATCGCCCATGAATGAATGTACATGACCATGAATTTGCACATAGCTGCACATGGGCTAGCAGGACAACAGAAGTGCGGATTCTTACTAAATACTTCCAAAATTAATACTCGTATGGGTCATGACTGCTTACTAACACTTATATATTCATACTCATAGGAATATGAATACGAATAATATCCAACAATAAGGCCGGTGCTGCTCCTAATTCTACTCCCAACCCCAATACTCATACCAATACCATCTAATACGCATACGAATACTAACACTCATACTACTACGGATACTGGTATACTGATACTGGTACTGATCCCGTCAACTGATTAACATACAATACCAATCCCGACACGAATGCCAGTAGACTGAGACTAATGCCAATTCTAGCGCTGATCCGAACACCAATGTCAATACTGATGGAATAGTATTGGCGTAGGCCCCAAACAAAAAAAATAGCACCCAGCATTCCAAGCCCCACATACCCAAGAACCACTTCACGAGAACACCGTCGGCTCCCCGTGAATCCAAAATGCACACCATACTGTGAAGGGAGCACGACTGCACCCCCAGAACAAGCACTGACAACTGTGGCAGCGCCATCAGTCCCACCCCAAGGAATGTTCGAGGGCCCTGCAGCAGGAGCACGGTTTGGAGGTTCATTCAAGCACGAGATGACCCAAAATATGCATGGCACTGTGGCGGGAAAGCGATTCTGAGCGGCGGAGAATGCGCGGGACTGCGGCGGAAGCATGCACACCATGGCGAAGCACTGAATTTTCTGAAAGGGACTTCCAACGCGTTACTGGCCAAAACGAGCTCGGGACGGCTCGCCTTTGTACATTACCCAACAGATCACCCACCACCTCCCTGCAACACCACCGCAGTTGCGTAAGGCTAGTGGGTTGACAATGCTGGCGGACTGTTAGCCCGGAGAAGGTCGCTAGTGTTCTTCGCCAGCCAATCTCCAAGGTGCGACACGTGGGTTCTTCAAAATAACCTCCCGGTGGGAGGCCTCTTATCCGAAATGGCCACGGCCGTCTCAAGACCTCATTTATAGCAACCAAACACCTTCGATGTTTGTTTAGCGAAACACCTTCGATGTTTCATGGTTAAGATCTTTCTGGGCTAGCATACACGGTCGTACCGCGGGCACGAACGCATAACCCTTGCGGAATGCGACAAAAATCGGACCAATGAAAAAATGAAAATGCGCATCAGGTCGCACTCGGAACCAAAATGATCCTGGCTGCTGACGTGATAACCCCATAGTTTGGGGAATTACCATACTACCATTAACACTACCGCCACACCACCACGACGACGACTACTACTACCATAACTTTTACTGACTCCTCCTCCTCCTGCTGCTGCTCCTAGGCTTAGTCCTAGTCCTAGTCCTTCTCCTACGCCTACTCCTACTCCTACTCTACTACTACTACTACTACTACTACTACTACTACTACTACTACTACTACTACTACTACTACTACTACTACTACTACTACTACTACTACTACTACTACTACTACTACTACTACTACTACTACTACTACTACTACTACTACTACTACTACTACTACTACTACTACTACTACTACTACTACTACTACTACTACTACTACTACTACTACTACTACTACTACTACTACTACTACTACTACTACTACTACTACTACTACTACTACTACTACTACTACTACTACTACTACTACTACTACTACTACTACTACTACTACTACTACTACTACTACTACTACTTCTACAATCCTACGCCCACGCCCACTCCTGCTCCTACTCCTACTACTTGTCCGACTGCTCCTGCTCCTGCTCCCGCGGCGCTCCTGCGCCTGCTCCTGCTGCTGCTGCTGCTGCTACTACTGTACTACTTCTGCCATCACATACAGTATTCATCCATCCCTATTCCAGTTCTGATTGCACTTGGTGCATTCTCTTGCGGGGCCATGTGATCTGCGGAGCTGAGGTTGCCAACTCACCAAGCTCGTCTGCAGCTGGCAGATTTGTGCCTGGACGTCGCACGTGGGCGAAAACGGAGGCGCTTTGAGAAGTAGTCGTGGGTAAACATTGCCTCCAACTGCGATGTCTCCTAGCGGGAGCAGATGCTGCGGTGCGTAACGAAACGCAACACGACTGAAAGCGGGACCGTGTTCCGTTGCCTCGGCCCTCCTTCGGCTTGCATCCTGCTTCAACATTCTTCCACTGAGCCACATGGTTCACACTCGACAGGACCAAGCGGCGAAGACCGGACCAGTGGCCAGAAAGGCTTTGCTTGAATCTTTAGGTTAGCTTGGTTGAAATGCCTTTAGTCCTTAAGGTCGCGAGAAACGATGCATCGGAGATTTGCATGCCAAAGCTCTTTCCTTCGCACGCGCGGGCGCCCGAGTGTCGCTTTAATGGTTTTGCGCAGTTTTCTAAAACCAGACCGCTTCAACTCCGCCAAACCTGTATAAAGCCTTGGGCATGAGCGGGCATGAGCTTCCTGGCTCGTGTTTCACCGGCTGACCGGCAGCACGTTGACTTTTGTTGTTGGGCCATTGAATTATGTCGAACCCACATATGTAGTCTCACGTTCCGGAGTGTCCAAGTCCAGAAAGCTCCTGCGCACTTTGAACACGCTCACACACACACACGCCGCATGTGCAAACCAGTTTTGTCCGCTGCCCACCGTGCCGAGTTCCGTCCAGCGGTTGGCTTAACATGATGTTCCGAAAAATGTACTAAGGCTAGTGGGTAACCTGCGCGTGTGCCTCGACAGGGTCATGCACAGGATTGCGTCAAAGCAGGTCGCACAGCGTCGGGCTATCTGTTGCCTCCGACATACTCCCACTGATAGCGCGTGATGTGGGAACTGGTAAAATAGCAGTGGAAACTTTCTTTGCATCACCTGTGAGGATCTTGTGAAGCTATGGCCTGGAGGAGTGTGGGCTCGGGAGATGGCATGCAGCATGCAGTGCATTCACTTAGGAATCTCTGCCGGTCAGGCTGCACAACCTGACTGCAAAACTTTGATTACAGCTGACCTCCAGCTGCGCGCCCAGCTGCGCAGTGTCGTTGGTGAGTTGGGCCTCCACCGAGGGCTTCAGCCAGATAGCGAGTTGAGAACAGCAGTATGACCAAAGGCAACGAATAGCCTGGAGATGATCGCGTTCGCGCTGCAGTGCAGCAAGGCGCTGATTCCAGGATGCTCCCTGCGGTGGACTGTCTGTGTTGCTGACTCGACCAGTACTAGTTGCTGCTAGCTCTACTCAGAATTCTCACTGGACCCTCCTTTACTTTGCCCCGTCTCATTCCATGTACCAGGTCGCCTGCCAGTTTCCTCACTTGATGTGCACTTGTCAGCCTTGCGCTCCACTTTCCAAAGCCTTTCTGTTAGTTCTGTCCGTGCTTGTCCACTCTATTTACACCTTGCTCCGCCTTCACCCTGACTGAACTTGAGTCCGGCTTGTTCCGTGTTCTCATCGTCGAGTCGAGGTATTGTACTCGGCCTCACAGAAGCTCAACGGAGGCCGCACTGTTTGAACGCCTGCTTTACAACACCTCCAGAACATTGGTCCTCACTCTCCCAGTTTCCTGTTCTGCGCCTTTTCTTTACGAGAACTGCTCGTACCCACAAGTCTTGCTTGTTTCTCGTGTCGGTAAAGACGCTGTTTGCCTGACCTGCAATAGGGCCGAGTGAATCTTGCCTGCGATTCTTCGTATTATCTTAAGGCCCCATGGCCAGACAGGAATCACAGAGCCCCTCTCCTGAGCTCGGCTGCTCGGCAGAAATTTCTATGCTCGGGAAAAGACAACGGGATTCCAAGCCTCCTTCAGTCTCAGCTCCTGCTCGGAAAGCACCCGCAACTGGCAGTGCAGAGCAATTCCATCCACTCTGAGCAACGACCCTTCGGCCCTTCTGCCTCCAGCTCGCGCGCCGCGTCACTGCTTGCAATGCGCTGCTCCAGGGAGTTCTTGACCAGAGCTGCGGCAGGCTGTGAAATTGGATGGCATGCATGCTGCAGTCTGCTCTAGCAACAGTGAGCTGGAGAATGCGTCATCGAAAAGACAAACCAACACTCGCTCTTTGCGGTCAGCTGTCGGCCCAGTCTTCTGCCAGCACACCCGGTGGTTCCGAGGCCAATTGGCAGAACAAAACTGCAAAGAGGCATTCAGCACTGCTTCAACCTCGCAGCCCACGAAGGTATCAGTCCACGAGCTCGAAAACAGCCTCCTCGGTGCAGCTCTGCACGCTCGTTGGGGCCTACTTGCCGGGAGGTGACGCTGCAGTTTCCGCGAGCATCCATGTTATGCACTACAAAGTCTTTCGGAGCGCCATCTCCACTAGTTGCGCAGCAACGATGCACAAGAAAGAACTCAATCACGAAAGAGCGTTGGCGGGGAGGGGAGGAGGGGAGGGCGGGGGAGGCGGGGAAGGCGGGGAGGGGAGCGACCTGCTGCTGCGGCAGGTTTCCATGCAAGATGCCGACCAAGAAACGTGATGTCCTTATTTTGAATTCAGATCCTACCGCAAAATCATTCTCGATCGATGCGTGATTCCCGACTATGCTGCACCATCAGCGAGGATTATTTAGCCCGTCGGGCTTCTTCATCCGACCCTCAATGAGGGGTGCCCGGCTTCCGGCTTCAGGTGGGACATAATTTCACTGTCCAGCCAGCTTTTGCATTTGGCCTTCCAGTCCTTGCCGAACTCTTTCTTGGGTTCTCTTTGCTCTTCGGTCGACCGTCGTTATTCTCCGGGGTGATCCTCTGGTACGTGCCGTGCGATAAGCGGAATATTCTATGTCGTCGAGGCAGGATGTGGCACAGGTGATAGAACATCGGGTCAGGTGGCATATCCAAATGTGGCTTTGGGTGACCAAACAAACATCACTGGATTTGACATACGTAGCTTGACACTGCCGCTGGGATCTTGGCAGGGGTGCGGCCGTCGGAGGTTCTTCGCAATTGCATCCAGCTCGTTGATCTAGTCGGCGTGTCGAGTAAATCAACAATGGAGGGTGATTTGGATGGTGGCCTGGTTCTTTCGGAACTGCCACCAGAGGAAGCTCGATGTTCTGGAAGTGGGGGAGTCGACTGCTGACGTGCAGCGGGGAACGGTGTCGATCAGGTGAATGAATGGGAGCGTCGTGATTTCGTCAATACTCAACGGAGTTATACGGGTGCGGCATCTGGGAGTTTTGAGCATCTTGCAAATCCTTTGATTGACTTTCACCATGTGAAGTTGTGATTGTCATCTTGTACCTGAGGTACACACGCAGACAGGTCATGTCAGCAACATGTATTGGCTGCCCTGGATTGCAGGGCGCTGGCGGCTGCTGATGGATCAGAAACATGTCGGGAGTGACACCATGCATCTCACAGAGTGATCGGTGCTGGAAACGTCCGGGCTCGTGGCTGAATTGGTATGTCATGGAATGCTGAGGGCCAAGTGAAGATGGGGTTGACCCAAGAAAGATGTGGAAATCACGGCACGGGATGTAAGTTCTAGGGGTCGATGCAACCTGCTTGTCCTAAAACTAAATGGGCAGGCGGAGCGTAGGGAGCATGGACGAACTTGATGGTTCCACGAGCACGCGACTCATGTTGATCGTGGAGCTCACCGTTGAGGCTCATGCTCGCCGGTATGTCTGGTAGTTCGGCCACCCAGCGGACGAGGTGGTCTGGTTGATGTAGGTTGCAACATTGATGGTGTCATGTAGGTGTTGAACATAGACCCTAGAGGAGCTCGCATGATTTGTTCTCGAAGTCACCCTCCCGTGCTAAAGGCCTGAACCAACACCTACCGAAGAATACCCATGGCTGTGCATGAGATCACAAGATGTCGTCACTGCCAGGCGATAGGTACACCGACTGAGAATCAAGATTGACACCTTGACTTTCTAGACTAGAGGGAGGCCAGCATGTAACCAGCTTTAATACTACTGTATCTTGATGAGGGCTCGACACCTACACCAAACGTAAAACTGTAGATGGTAGGTAGTAACGCCTATATGACCGTCACGCTAAAGCTAGAGGCCGGGAATTGGAACTTGCAGTTGTGGAGATCTGCAGCCCATGTCTCTCACAGTGCTTGCAGGTTGCGAACAACAACAAAACAACACGACTTGGCATATTATTTTTCGGCGACAAGCAGCTGTGCGCCCAGATACTCGTGATCGACCAGGTGAATCTACCTTCTCCTCATTGCATCAGGCCAGTCCCTACTCCACATGTCCGGTTGGTCTAGTTTGGTCACTGATTTCGAACTTCACCAACATTCTTTACACAGTGGAAACATGTGGCCTCAGTGGTGCCAACCTGCTTTGTCGAACCTTAGACCATCATCCCCTTGAGGCTGTACAGGCAAAGAAGGAGACACTGGGATTGTGCCTGGCGGTGTGGTTGCTGCTTGCGCCCTCTGCCTGGGGCGCAGCAGATGGCACTTTCAGGAAAGACGCACGACCCCAACTGGCACACCTCAGGATTTCTTCCTTCGTCGGGCGCTTCGGCTCCAGCAGTAGCATGTGCCTGGCATGTTCTCTGCAGGATCATGCCAACCAACCGGTCGGGTTCAAGAAGACATCCTGCATGCCGGGCTTGCTCAGGAGCTGAATCCCAAGGCTCGGCCACACCTGGCCTGGGTTTCCGATTTCGGCACAAAAAACCAACGAATAGACTTGCAGTCTTCTCTGAAGAATAAGGCCATGGCAAATGTAAAGCTGCTCGAGAAACGAGGTCCGATTTTTCAACGCAATCAGAGAAGTCGATACCTGCGACGGGCTTGAGCGTCACATGACGATGTGCTTCATGTTACACCAACGATTCCACATTTTGTTGCATTGGCTGACTTGAACGAACAGCTTTCAGGTCGCATAGCAGCTCCATTCCTACGATGACTTCATGTTGCAATGTTGCATCTGATGTGCCGAATAATTCTGCACCCCGGAAACTACTGAGCTTATGCCAGGTTGTGCACATTGCAGACATGGATGATTCATTTCGTAATGACGCTACGTATTTCCTCATGGCTTGCATGAGCTGGTATCAAGATGATGTCCATGCATGTTCTTGTGTTGTTCATTATTTCTGTCCATTGCCAGCAGCCAAATTTATAACATCGTGGCCGTTCATGACCGTTGCAATGCAACAGTACTCAGTCTGCCGGCAAAGCGGATCTAGCAAAGGGGCCAAGATGACCGGTCATCTTGGTAATGTGTGGGGACGAGGGGTTTGGTACAGTAATCTTGCAATCTTGCACCACTTGCACCACCTGCACACGGTTGCACCACTTTTATTGCGAGCACACCACACAAGCATCAAGATTACCGAGATCACCACCCTCACCCATCCCACCACCCCACCAAGGCTGCACCTCTCTCAGACTCCGCAAAGGGCGCGCCCCCAAACCCACCGATACTGATACTGATTTAGTTCTTCTTCTACTGCTGCTGCTACTACTACGACTACGACTACGACTCCTCCTCCGCCGCCTGCTGCTGCTACTGCCACTGCCACTGGCACTGCTACTGCCACTGCCACTGCTGCTGCTGCCCCTGCTCCTGCTACTGCTTCTTCTACGAACAAAAAACTAGAAGACAATTGGCCCGAAAGCATCATTAGCGAAGAGTTGTGCGCTACATCATAGAATCCAGTGCATAGAATCATAGAGTCACAGAGTGAAGTACATAGAGTGAAATACATAAACTCAAGTTCATGAAGTCAACTGCATACAGTGAAGTGCATAGAGTCAAGTGCATAGTCCAGCGCATAGTGTCAAGTACATAGAGTCCAATAGTCCAATGCATAGATGCATAGAGTCCCCCAGGTTGGATCCAAAATCGATTTTTGTATACAAACTTTAGTACTGGAGGTGTCTCTTTTGGGCTGAGGTCAAATTTCCGAGTCAAGGGTCCCCAAACCTCAAGTTTTTCTTGCATGATTGAAACAAACGAAAATCTCGAGGTTTATTGGTTTACTATTGGTGAACAATGCCTATAAACCCTAAACCTTAAGCCCTAAACCTTTAGGCAATAAACCCTAAACCCCAAGCCTTAAACCCTTAAGCCCTGAACCCTAAACCCTAAAGAGTCATAGAGTCAAGTATACATGTACATAGAGTCATATTAGTCTAGTCGAGACAAATGCATAAGTCAGGTACACTGGTACATAGAGTCGTAAAGTTAAGTACATTTTCACTCTGTGGACTATGCACTTGACTCTATGTACTTCACTCTATGTACTTCTCTCCCGAGCACCCCAAATCGAATTCTTTATTTTATACAAAACTTCAGTACTGGAGGTGTTTCTTTTGGGCTAAGGTCAAATTTGCGGTTCAGGATTCCCCAAACCTCAAGTTTTTTTGGATGATTGAAACAAACGAAAATCTCGAGATTTACTGGTTTACTATTGGTGAACCAATGCCTAGAAACCCTAAACCTTAAGCCTTAAACCCTTAAGCAATAAACCCTAAACCCTATGCCTTAAACCCTCAGCCCTAAACCCTAAAGAATCATAGAGTCAAGTATACATGTACATCGAGTCATATTAGTCTAGTCCAGTCCAGTGCATAGAGTCAATTACGTAAGTCAGGTACACAGGTACATAGAGTCATGGAGTCAAGTACATCTTCACTCTGTGGATTATGCACTTGACTCTATGTACTTCACTCTATGTACTATGCACGTAACTCGATGTACTTCATTCACTTTATGTACTATGCACGTAACTCGATGCACTTCACTCTCTGTACTATGCACTTGACTCTATGTACTTCACCCTATGTACTATGCACGTAACTCGATGTACTTCACTCACTCTATGTACTATGCGCTTGACTCTATGTACTTCACTCTATGTACTTCTCTCCCGAGCACTGCAAAGCACCGCAAACATAGTAACTTTCCCACACGTTCGTAGACTGACCACACGAATCCCTGGGAAGGGTTGCGAATGGCGCCTAAGAGCGTACGTACGTACGACCACACGAATCCCTGTGAAGGGCTGCGAATGGCGCCTAAGAGCGCCGAAAAGTAGTAACTTTCCCACACGTTTGGGCGCTCGACCAACCACACGAATCCCTGTGAAGGGCTGCGAATGGCGCCTAAGAGCGCCGAATTGTAGTAACTTTCCCACACGTTTGGGCGCTCGACCACACGAATCCCTGTGAAGGGTTCAAAGTGGACCAGTCGAGTTGTAACTTTCCCACCGTTTGGGCGCTCGACCACACGAATCCCTGTGAAGCGTTGCGAATGGCGCCTAAAGTTGTCACTTTCCCACACGTCTGGACACTCGTCCGGGCCAATCCCTGTGAAGGGTTGCATCCCCGATCGATGACGATGGTGCCACCCTGGCTTCAAAAAGAGAGATTATATACCGAGATGTAGATAAGTCGGATAGAGTCAAAAGCACAGAGTCATGGAGTCACAGAGTCATAGTGTCATAGAGTCATAGAGTCATAGAGTCAGAGTCAAAGAGTCATAGAGTCATCTGTGTACCATGCACTTGACTCGATGTAGTTCACTCTATGTACTATACACTTCACTCTATGCACTATGCAATGCACTTCACTCTTTGTACTTCACTCTATGTACTTCTCTCAGGGGCTTCGCACGGAAAAACCCTGCGCGATGCTTTCGGGAATACTCATTCTATTGATAGTCATAAGAATAATTCAATATAGTAATACTACTAATAATCATACTGATACAGATGCTAATACTAATACTGATACCTCATTCTACTGAACCTAAACCGCTAAAGCGCTCGCCGGGAGCACTAACTATTAACCCTAAACCCCTAATGCGCGCGCAATGCGCGCATAACAGCCATAAAAATACCAATACCAATAATGATACGAATAGGCATGCTAATAGCAATACTAATATGAATACTAATACTGATACTAATACTACTTGTACTCATACTCAACCTCATACGAATACCAAGATGTACTACTAGTACTAATACTAATTTTAATACTAATACTAATACGTATACGAATACTAGTACTATGTTGGTGTGAGATGCTGGCTACGTCGACTGTATGGGATAGTTGATGATGCTGTGTCATAATATCATAACCCTGGTGTGCGCACAGATGCCACCTAAGAGATGAAGCGTTTGCCCTGATCAGCAGAAGCATGTGAACGACATGCAAAGTGGCGACTGCCCTGGGGCACGTTGGTAGACAGTGGCTTTGAGCACCTCTTTCAGAGGCTCTTTGTTCAGAGGCCCAGGGGTTGAAAGGTTTTGAAGGAAGGATTGAGGGTGATTGTTTGGCTTCCCGTTTGAGAGCTGCCATCAGGACCTAAGAATCATCTGCTATGCCCTCCACGAGACCCCAACCTGGATTGGAAGACCAACATACTAAGACTAATACTCGTACTAGTTCTGGTACTAGTACTAGTACTACTACTCATACTCATACTAATACCAATACTAATACTAACGACAAACCTAAACCCCGAATGCTAACACCAATACTAACACTCTTGTTAATATGGATACGACTATCAATACTAATACTGACTACTACCCCTAAACCGATGCTCGCGCCAGGAGCGCGTGGCACTACTGATACGAATACGAATACTTATACGAATGCTAATACTAGTACGAACACTGATACTAATACTAATGAATACCTATGCTAGCACTAACAAAGGGACCGTACTACTGGTACCAGTATACTGATGCTGATACTGATACTGACACTCTCATATTGATAGTAGCACTGATACTATAAGACTAATACCAGTACGACTAAAACCAATACTAATACTGATACGGATACTAGTACTAATACTGATTGCTAACTAACATCAACGCTAGAAGTAACTACCATCCCGAAACTCCAAACCGATGCCGCGCCGAGCATGCATAGCAACTGCTAACCCTTCATGCATCAACCGATGAGCGCGCCGGGCACGCGTAACACTACATAGTACAAAAGCTAGCACCACTACTAATACTAATACCAATACCAATACTAACTAATATAAATACCAATACTAGTACTAATAATACGAGCTAACACCAACACTAACAGCAACACGAATACTAATACTAGTGCTAGTACAACTCCTAATACTAATACTGATACTAACACTAATACATACTGAAGCTAACACAAGAACTAGTACTACTACTAGTACTGATACCAATACATAGTTACTTACACCACCTGCTAACACTAAACGCTTAAACCGATGTGCGTGCCGGGCGCGTACAGCACTCGAGCAACCCTAAACCCGAGACCCTAAAATCCTAAACCCTAAACCTTACACCCTAAACCTTAAACCCTAAAAGCCGTAAGAACCTAGTACGCATACAAGTACTGAAGACTTGCCCTAAACGCTGAACTGAAGAAACGAGCACGTCGGTGCGGGTAGCGCAAGGAGGAGGGGCGGGGGGGGGGGGGGGGGGGGGGGGTGGTTATCTTGGTAGTTAATCTTGGTGATCAGCTTGATGTTCGTGTGTTGCAGAGGTGATTAGTGCGATAGTGGTGCGAGTGGTACAAGTGGTCCAATTCTGCAAGATTACCATGCCCCCCCGGCCTGGAAATACCCAAAAGCAAGACTACCAAGATGACAAGATTTTCAACATGGCCGGCCAACTCCCCCCCCCCCACCGTGCGACCAAGATATCAAAACAACCAAGATGACCGGTCATCTTGCCCCCAAGATGACCAAGGGACATGCAAGATGACCAAGATTACCAAGATGACCGAAGCTTACAAAGATGACCGCAACAGTTAGCGGATCCATTTTGCCAGCAGAATTCAACAGTATTTATCCTGCGCTGAGGCCTATCCCTTGCTGAGCTGAGGCTTCTACTTCATGCCACAAACTGTAGGTCAATTGGGCGGTGGCAAAGTACGGAGAAGTAAGGGTAAGCTGACCTGTGACAAAGATCTAGACGAGAATCCTGTAAAATCGGCAGTTCGGACGTATGCTGCGGATGCCCTGGTCTGTCTGTGCCGGACACAACTGTGGTATCATAAGAGCAGGCATGCGGCATGCCCGACCCCCGCTGTTTGATGCACCATCAGACCAATCGCCTGTACTCTCGATCGCCCGAGTCAGGAGTGACAGTAGATGGATAAAACAGGATGAAGTCAGATACCATGTCGACATCCCGTCTTGTGGAGGAGCGACGAACACTACGTCAATAGTGTTGCGGACCAACTGTATATTCAGACATTGCTTCGGGCGCGGCATGCGTGCTAGAAATCAGGCCATGTTTGTTGCAGCGACCACCAGGCCAAAACTGCAGAATGCACGGTGCAAGTGAAACTCTGGGTGCGGCATGTCATACATGATTGATTGCAGGATGCACCGGCGCGCAGCTGCAGACTGGTTGTCCACTGTGCGCTTTGTGCGCTCTTCTCGCGGTGCAGGAAACGACTTCAAGCGGACCCTGACTTGAGACACAAGTGTGGACAGGGACAAACTCAAATGTATTTCGCTGAGGACCGGCACTGAGTCGATCTTTTCGCCTCGAACCTGCCCGACTCTGTTGGCATGTGCCGCTGCATAACGGCACCGGCCGCTGCGAATCGCGGACTGAACGGGCTAATCCAATCTCTGCGCGACCCCAGGGTGCGCGGTGCTGGGCGCGCCAACGCGATTACGCAGACCACGTCAAACTTGGACAGGCCGCAAAGTGTGCAAGTCGTAAGTTCGGCCCGCAGATAAGAGCAAATGCTGCCTAGCGGAACCGAAAGGGAGGGTTGTGGAAGGCCAAGCAAGGTGTTAGCGCTGGTGTGCGGGGGCGAGTCGGCCACACCGATTGTGAAGTGAAGGGAGCCTCACCTCGTACTTTTTTGCTGTCAGGAACAAATATGTGCCTCGCACAAGCTGCCATCGGCAGGGGTTCCTTAACGGAAGAGGGACAGGAAACATGTCCGAGGCTACATTCCGAAATCCTTGACGAGATCGTCGAACAGCCGCAGCTGCGAAGAGGGCCCGAATCACGCAGACTTCGAGCTGCACACGACTGGAGCGACATCGCATCAGCCTGCACCCGTCCAAGAGCAGAACGGGCACAGCCTTCGGCTCCCCTGCACTCTGGCGACGCGGAGTCGGGAGGCGAGGGCCGGAAAGAGTTGGGCTGTTCCAGGAAATGTCGACAATGCAGGAGTCATCTCCACAAGGGCCAGGGCTCGTGACTACGAACGTGCCAAGCCGTATCGGCAATCGAACGGTGACAAGTAGGAAAAGCCTTTAGAACGGCCCTTGCCCGAACTGCACAAAACTACAACGGCCTGTAGCTAGCCGGCAAGGCAAACCATCTTCTTTCCACTGAACTCCGAAATGTGCCTTCTGAACGGAGGAGATCACGAAGGTCTCTTACTCCGAGAGTCCGCAGTTCCTGCACAGGTGGCCAGGTGCAACGCCACGACTGCCACTGTGTGTTGCGGGTTTCCTCCATGGAAGACGGCACGCACCGAGCTGGCGGATTAGGATTCTTCGCTGCGTTGAAAAACATCGAGAGCCTCAGCAGTCACCGTACGTCTGAGCGTGAGTTCTGCATTCAAAACGCGTGCAGACGCGAGATAATGACAAGAATAATATTGTGTGCCAGACTTCGCTCAGTGCTGCGCATTTGCGGCGTGGGAATACGCTAGTCGGGAATCTGGCTGTTGGCTTTCTTGTTACTGGCGGTGAAGTACGCATCACAGGGCTTCTGCTCATCCGGCTCGGTTCCTACTCCATTCTACTGCTACTGGATGCACTGACGGATTTGGTGCAAACGGATTCCGGAGAGTCGCTCACAGTGCGACAGCCTCTTATGGTGCCACCCTACTTAGCTTGGCCAAGGGCTGATCTTGACTGACCTTCGGAGAATCTCCTGAGAAATAGTGAGCCCACAAGAACCGGCGGAGGTCGGAAGAGACCGATTCGAGTTCAATGGCCACGCTTGAGACAACGTCACCAAACCCAGGCGAGTCTAAAATGCAAGCACACTGACTACTGACATAGTACAGTAGATCGAACTATGCGATTGGACCGAGGAGCTGCTGATGTGCCAGGCTGTGCCCCATCCTCTCGTAAAGCACCGGGGCCACATCCGCTCACCGTCAGTCGGCATCCAAGCGCGAGACGCGGCAGACTTCTGTGCCCACTTCAAAGCTTCTTGGTAGTCTGCCTGCGAGTGCTGCGCTTACCGGCTCCGGCATGGAGCCGCCAGCAGTCACAATCTGTCGCACCGGGTCGCACCTTGACACCACCACTGCCGCGCAGGAGGGCCAGGCCATAGTTCAGCATACCCTGAGGAAAGTCAGAAAGGCCAGCCTAGAGACTACAAACATACCAAACGTCTCCCAGAAGTCGAAAAGGCTATGAGAGATTGGTGAATTGTGAACTTCAAGCCTCGGCAGCACCTCGCTGTGCCGCATGCCGAAACAATCGAACAGCTTTCGCTTCGTCCTTCACCACTCCCATGCCTCGGAACATGTTGATACTCGAGGACTCACACGAACGATAAAACAGTCATGTTAAAACTCAATGGAAAGACTCGGAACGTGCCAACGGGGCAAGCGGAAAGAGTCAACAAGAATTCCAATATTTTCCAATCCAGCATTAATCATCCCTTGCTGTCAAAAAAGTGGCTTCGCAAAGTCAAGCTTACCGAGCAGAGCGCCATTCACCAGCAGGTGTCCCAGATTGCTTAAAGCCTGTGCGGGGATTCAGTTGCTTCAAGTCCAAGGTGAGAAGGAAGGGAAATCTGCACCTGCGCGTCTCCTTGATGCGCTGCCCATTTCGTGTAGCGAAGCGATTGCTGCAGATCCTGCGTGCATGCCGATTTCGTCGTCTGCTCTTTTGCTCCACCATGCTCCACCCTCAATGAACCCTGGAAGCCGCGAAGGCAATGCGGCACAGCTGCGGGTTTTTTGGCTTTTCTTCGAGCACTGCGTGGGGCCAATGCAACTCCTAAGCTATGGTGACATCATGACTGTCATATCATCAGCCTGCGTGGGCCACACTGAAAGCACCTTCGAAGAGTCACCCTTGTGTCTTGGCCAGCTCATGTAAGGTTGTGCAGTGTGCACACTCTCCTTGGGGAACTTGTGCTGCCCTTCCCTGTACATCTCTGCCACCTCATCACTTGTCACAGCGGCATCTTCAAAGCGAGCTGTCACAAAACCAAGGTGCCCTCCTGGAAGCACGCTCTCGGATGCCCTTTCAGGCATGCTGCAAGCAGTTTGGTTGCCTCAGATTGGCGAAAGACTGCCACAACTGCCAGAACCTCTCGCAACTCAGGACCCAGCACCGTCTCGGTCGCCTTCCTGCAACAACCTTTGGCCCAGGAAAAACCTTAGTGTGTGAGTGACTAAACACTGTCGTAGCTCAGCCTTACGTGTAGGATTCGTGCCCTGCATCAGGTTCATCTTGCTCAAAAGCAAGACGCAACAGCCGCTTGCCCTCGACAACATCCTGTTCGGCCCCCTTTCCAAGGTTGAAAACTCGCGAAGCAAGACCGTCAGAAGAACTCGTCCTGTTGGACACGACCATGTACACCTTGCACCAGAAAGCCACCGTAGCGGCTTTGTGACCTTGAGCAGAGTGGATGCTGCAGGAAGCTACAGGAACCTGACAGGCTTCAAGAGAGCACAGGCCGCAACCGACCGTGACCAAGCTCGGCAGCTCTCTGCCACAAGGACAACGCTGCACTGGTCGACTCCTGCAATTATAGGAACGATGTCCATGCCCTGCCTCGGATTTTGGCAAAAATGATTGGCTAACTGTCGTCACTCTACCCTATCCATCCCTCGAAGCGATGTGAGCCGCACCTGAGCTTCTGCATCGCAAAACAATGACTTTCTTTCTAAGCTAAAGCCACTCTCGAATCCAAAACCGCAGAAGTCCTGCAAGCCAGATCCCGCAGGAGGCTCCCAGAACCACTCTGCTGCGGTAAACATTGCTTCTGGGTGGTCACCATCACATGCCTGCAAGGAACATTGCCACGACTGCGAATTTCCCGCGAATAGAAGAGTTCACCGCACCCTATCCGACAGCCGTCTGAATAGAAGGGATCCACCACAGCCTATAACACATCCACATGTCAACGGCACGGGAGCCGTCCAAGCCTGCTGAGGTTCGTGCCTTGTCCAAGAAAGCTTTAGCACGTCGGAAATCTTTGCCAGAAGCCAGAGACAAGGCCAAACCATAAAATGCCGAAGTATTGTTGTCGTCGACGTAGGTCCTCGCAGTCACAAGGGCTGCACAGTCCAAGTTCAAGACACCAAGGTCTTGCTCAATCCCGTCCTACGACACTATGGATATGTTTCCGGCTCATGTCCACTCGGTTTTCCACATGTAAGTGTTCACGCAAGATGCTGACATCAGCTTCGCAAAGGCCTGTACCAGGGACAGGTGCCATCCAGCGCAGCTTCTGCGGAGTCTTTGAAGTGCAGGACCAATTCGTAGCGAAATCCATCTTGCACATCCGTGCCATGATGAAGGTCGTGTTGAAACATGCACAGGTCCCCTCGCTCAAGTTGTACAAATCTTCTGTCCAGAAATGCCTTCTCAGAACCTTGCACAAACAAACCTCCAGTACTTGTTGCAGGCTCCTGCAGGGAGACCACGACCACAGCAAAAGCACCATGTTCATGGTGTGGAGCTATAAACCGACGTTCCTCTGGCACAAAACGTCGAAAAAAAGCCGACGACAGCGCAGCCGTGGGAGAACCATAGTGCTGCCTGACCAAAGGCAGCAAAACAGTTTCAACCAGTGGCCGCAGTGCTGAGGACGATGTCGACGACATCGACATCGTCTCTGAAAACAAACCCATGTCGGCAAGCTTCACGGCGAAGCTTGGATGTCCATCCACTGGGTCAGGGTCTCTCCCTCTCCCATTTCGAATCTCCTCGCTGAGCACTTGGCTGCAGCCTGAGAGTAGCTGTGCAACTTCGTTGTCGGTAAATATGCCCTTGAAGACGGAAAACCTGGCGTTGCCCGGCATGTACAGCTTTGGCACGGACCCGCGGTATTCCACAGCACCATATCGGCCACCTGCTGAGACGCTCCGCGGCGGCTCTGAGAAGATGTAGGGCCGCACCTGAGTGGGGATGCGGTCAGGGCCAGGGATGGCCAGGGATGGCCAGGGGCTCCCATCCGAAAACTTCTCTCTGCTAGGGAGTGGCCGGCACAGCTGCCACGAGCTGGTCGATAGTCCAGGAGTCACACGCGGACACCGTGGACCCTTCCTGCACCGATCACAAGTCCGCAACGCAGCCGCTCCTTCACATTCTGCTCTGTGCCCTTCCCGGCCTTCCCTCCCGTTGCATAACCTCCATCTCTGCTAGCGCTGCTAGCCATCCCTGCCTTCATGCTTCAAGGGCCTTAGCGGAAAACCACATGACCCGAGCTGCGGCGATTGAAGGATCAAACAGAGTGTGGAGTCAGAGAGGAGCCAAACCTGCACAAGTCTGCGAAGAGAGCTAGAAGCCTGTGGACCTGAAACGGCCAAGGGCCCTGCGACTGGCCATGGCACTGAAGCATTGTTTGCTGAAGCCACGTCTTCGACCAGTCAAACCCATGCGTTTCGCTACCGAGCGTATACTCAGCACTGCAGTCTGCAACGGCGTTTTCACTTCTATTCTAGTCACCAGTCTGACTCTGAGTGTCGCTGTCTGGAAGTCACCGTTCAAGCTTCTGCAAGGATGGCATGCCAATTTACATCAAATTATCATTCAGGCCTCATGTCATGCACAAGCTTCTCCGGTGGGGAAGGCGCTTCGGTGAGCTCCTTCCGTACATTGACCTTGGCCGTATCCTTTCCTGACCACCAAAATGGCCAGTCCCAGGAGTCCTCACGGCCTCGGCCTCTCTAGCACCTTGTGCCTGTGCCCTTGCATCCATGCGCCTCTTTTCTTTTAGGCTTTGAATCGGCCTTAAACCGAAGCTAAGTTTACCCTAAAATCACAGGCCCAACGTGCTTCTGAGGCTACGATGACCTACTTGTGGTGAAACAAACCGAATCTTTTCAGGAGAACACTGTCGCCATCAATCTCGGCCCCAGCAGGTAGCGTTGTTAGCACCCTCTTTCTCTTCCAACCACTCAACCTTGGCGAATTGCCATTCAGTGTATGAACAACTTGGAACATGCTTCGCCCATGAATAGCAGAGAGCTGAGATGAGCCGAGAGAGTCTGGCGGCCGCTTCCACAGAGCTCGTTCGCTTGGCAGCTTCTATGGCCTGCGAGGGCCAAGCAGCGATGGACGACACCTTTAGACTCTAGACTTCAACTTCTGATCGAATGCACGAAGTATCCAAGAAGGCCTGATGCCAGGAATAGCCGAGCTGCTCTGTCAGCTTTCGTACGAGCCCATTCGAGGCCTGCTGAGCCGCAATCTCCACATCGAATGCGTTGCATTGGTTCGAAACTTTGACCGGCCTTCGATGTGGACGAGTGCGCTGCAGAGGAGCCTCGATCACGGCAGTGCTTGGCTGTGCGCCCAACTCGCTGCGGGCTGTGCTTGATGAACACTTTAGAAAAGCCCCGAAACCCGGCTCCCACAGTGGCTACGAAAGCCCACTACGCGCTCAGAGAGCCTTTTGATCCTCAAGCTCCCTAGCTGGTGTCGATCTTGCTGACGAAATTACCGAGTTCTGGTCCTTTGAACCGGCCAGTCAGCCGATGGGTATGCAGGAGTGCAGAAGTCAGGCTCCATGTGCAGGCCTTGTTGCGACCCGGAGTGTCCATCGGAGGAACTATGCCTTTGGCGGAGATGATAAAAAGAGACTCGACGAAGGTTGGAAATTTCTCGAGGCGGAGGCGAACTGGCGGAGCTCCTTTCACGTCAAATCGTGAACCAGGCCAAACCTTCTCCCTTCTCCCGGCCTGGCCACGGCTTTTGCGGCAGGTCCTCGGTGGTCCTGCTTCCCGTCACTGAGTCACAGTATGTCACAGTCATGCAACAGCTTCGCAAGCGGTCCGGGCGACGTACTCGAGGTAACGGGCGGTCATACCCACCTCCAGCCTCTGCCACAGGCTCTCTTCTTCCAATACAATGTTACAAGGCTCCCGTTGCGCCTGCTGGTCATAAGCTTCTCTACCTCGCTTCATCGCTTGAATCGCACAACCCTGCTACAAAAGATCATGACACTTGCAAGCTGGGCTACAAAAGCTAGAGCAAGGTCGGAACAGCAAGGGAATAGAAGTAATTTGCAATGCAAATTCTCTAAAACTTACTATACCACGAAGATCCTCACGTTTCAATGCCTGCAGCCTGATGCCAGCCCTCTGCAGCGACCCCTTCCTCCTCCCAACAAAACCATCATGGCGGGAGGGCACACCTAAAGATTGCTAAAATCAATCTTACAGGAGAGGGGGGTGGGCCCCCTAGCCGCCCCGCAGCCCGTATACCAATTACGGCCCGGGGTCGCCTGTTGACCCACCTGAACACTAGAGAGGCAGTTTACTCCAAAGAGCTGAGGATCGCACCAGGATGCTTCACCGGACTGACAGGATCGTCAAGCGATTTAAGCCTCTCCTGACTCCAGCCTTTGCAGGCAAGCACGTTGGATGAGTAACTCTCTCAGAGTTGATGTGCTGGGAGCCACACGCTTTCTGCTTGGACTAAAAGAGCTATCAAAAGCAGCTCCGAAAGCTACTTCTCCCTGACATGGCACGGCTGGCGAGTTCGTCTAGATCTTGTCTGACATCCGCTGGCCTCAGGCATTTCATCAGAGCTGTCACTGCCATCGCTCTGAGCGACTTCGGCAAGAAAGCCGCGGGTGGCCTTGGCTTCATCTCACAGTCTTGACTTGAGCCACTAGATGTGGAGCCGTGCCTTTTCGTGCTTTTGATGCAACTCTTCGCGCCGAGAGCAGGGCCGGCGCAGGACCTGGAAGGGCCGCCGTGGCCAAGACGCAAGTCCTCATGCTTCTATGCCCACGGCTCAAGCTGCAGTCTGCACTTTTGCCGTCTGCCAAACCTAATCGACTGAATGAAAGCTCCTTGGAGGTATCAGATCCAAGCGGGTCCCGGGTGGAAGCATCTGGGACAGCCAATCAGCCATGCCATCATCTGAGCAATGGCTCGTGCCTGGTCCGACTGGCTACCGACCTGGCAAACTGCATTTGGTTCTTAACGTTGCAGAGTGCGCATAGTGTGCATGGCACACGAACCTGAGGCGTCTTGAGTTGAGCACGAGGCGTCTCGATCTCGACCTACCGCGCGAGGAGGGACACTTGTTGGCAAAGTGTTCACGAGGCACGAGGCGTCTGACGAGCCTTGCGCAGTAGCTCCTTCCCTTCCTCGAGTCGCCATTTGCCCTGCCAGCTCTGCATTAACAGATTCTTTCAGAAACCAAGCTCCAGGATTCGCACCTCGCTTCGCAGCGATGCCACTGAGGAGACAGACTGCCAGAAATGCACTAACCGCGCGGAGTAGCAAGACGGTTCTTGAAATTTCCGGCTGCAGCCTCTCTTTCCCACATGCTTGGAGTGTCCTCCTCCACTGCCTGCCCATTGAAGATGCTTCATACAAGGTTCATGCAGAACACTGCCTCAAAGCCTATGACATTTCGCCTCTACTGAAATAGCTGCACGCGGGTCTGCCTTCACGTTGATGATGCGGCTGCTTGAACTGTCGCGACAACTAAGAGTACAGCAGTGCCGCAAGCAGAGCAGCAGAGCTGCAGAGCTGCATCCTGCCTAGCTGAGCAAGCATCCGAGCGGCCTCGCGAGGCCGATGAGCCTCGACAGCAAAGCAGCGAAGTGTCCCTGCTCAACTTTCCCACTCCCGACAGGCCGACTTTCACGCCTCGTGGGAAAACTCCCGGGCTCACGGGACTAATCTCCGCATCCTTGAAAAGAACTTCACACCCGGCGGCTCGACATGGACATCTAAGGAGGCAGCAGTCATAGCAAAAGCTGCAGCAGCCGTACCTGCGCATACTGCGATGTCAGCAAGGCGCAGATGGGTTGAGGCTTATCGGCGACTCCGCTGCAGCTGTGGCAGGACAATGCAACAAGTCCCGAGGCTCAAACTGCCGACAAGCAGCCAAGATCATCACCCAACAAGTGCAAGTATTGCCACCCGAGATTCCCTGTAGGATGTCCGTCAACCAACGCGTTTTGTTTATCTCTACACTTCAGACACGATTCCAATACGACTGCCCAGGACGATTTCACTACGAGTCCAACGTCCGGTGCAATCTCCAATTCCATCCTTTTTGATTCTAAGCCGACTCGTATCGTACCAGAATCGTGGCATCAATACGATCTTATACGAGTCGCACACACGACTTTGGCCGGCCAGTGGCCTGGCCGCAGACACACCATCTCAACGTCAACAGTCGATCGTGTTGATCTCCTATGTGCAAACCAACCGTGTCCAAATCACATCAGCCGATCCTGTTGAAGCTGTATTGAGCCATGAATCCATCCTGCGGTCTCCACGCGAGACTGACAACGCAAGTATTTAGGAGCTCAGCTGCACTTTCCTTTTCCTCCGCAAGTGCCGTTGCTCTGGTGCTTTCGTGAGGCGAGAGCCGTCAAAAGCAAGCTGTGGAATGTGCATCACAGCAAACTCTGACCCACCTTTAAAAGGGCGGGAGGGAGGGTTCTTGAGCCCCGGAAAGTTCGTTGGCGATCGCTCCTAAGCCACAGGAGCTCAGCTGCACTTTCCTTTTCCTCCGCAAGTGCCGTTGCTCTGGTGCTTTCGTGAGGCGAGAGCCGTCAAAAGCAAGCTGTGGAATGTGCATCACAGCAAACTCTGACCCACAGATCCCCAAGTTTCCAAAAGCACCAGATCTAAAGGTGTTGCCAGAGGTAAACCCAGGTGGAAGGAGGGACGCCCGCCGACCACCAAAGCTGTGCCTGTCGTAAAGTGGACTCGAAGAGCTCCGCAGTTTTCTGAACTTTGTGCCTGCAGCCTGCAGGGAGGTCCGCAACGAAGGTAGAAGCTCCGACCTCCTGCAGGTAGATCTCCATCACTTTGTGAGATACCCACCTGCCACGGCGTCCCACCAGTTCGGAATCCTCTGTCGCTTGTAGTAAAAAGGTTGCGCCTCCTGGCCGTAATGACCCGAGGTCGAGGGGTTTCTCCTTCCCTTTGACCCGATCGACACCAAGCACTGCAAGGATTGCGTAGAGCCTCTTCCGCAGCGTCTGCTGGCTAAAAGGCCAAAGGGGCGCGTCCTTAGGCAAGTGTTCGAAGGCCAGGCGTGCAACAGCTCCGAGATCAATCGGCTCAAGTTTTGCCGACTGATGTCGTGCTGCCCTGGCACGGGTCTTAGGCTCGTTGATCTTCAGGAGGACAAAAGCCTGAGACCACAAAGCGTCCGCCGGGAAGACGAGGTCGCGACGGAGTGCTTTGCAAA